CACATGTACATAAAAACACAGAAATAGCAGCAGAAGATAATCCCATACAAGATATGAAATTCTTACTCAGATAGAGATGGTGGGGGTGGAAAAGGAGCCTGGACCTCTTAAGTCCTGGACAGTGATGGTTGTTTATTAATGCCATTATCCATACAAGGAATTGTGACATAGTTTCAGAAAAGTCTGTTTTAGTTAAGTAGACCATGCAGTGCATGTCTGAGATAGAGCTACAGCTGGAATCGGATGCAAAGACCATTTTTTTTTTAATAGGTTCCTGCTCCATTGCAAGAAAAGCAAGTGTTCTGCAGGCCTTCGGCACAGCGAATGTTTTCCTGAGCTTTGGCTGTGGTTCCCATGCACATGGTTTTCACCATTGCTCTAAGTGAGGGTATCCCCCTATGGGGTACTCGCAGAGTAGAGTGCAGAAAGGGGGTAAGCATATCCAGGAAGGTGTATGCATCAACCTGTGTGGTGTCCGTCCTGTAGCAAATTCCTCCTAGCAAAAGGACAGGAAGAAGCATTTGAGTATCTTCTAAAAAGCTCTAGGGTGAAATGATGGTAAAGTGTGCAACATGTGCTGTAATGCAATGCCTGGTAACCCACCTGAGACTAAGCTCTGTGTAAATGAATTTAAGCATCAAGTTTGAAAAGTTTAATCATGCTGGTAATACATTGCTTGGTTGCTGGAAGTTTTAACCCAATGCCACTAATGCTTAAATGACTGTACATGGCAATACTGTTAAGGCAGAGTCCACCCAAAAATTAATGCTTTGGTTTACAGTGGGAATTGTTAGGTTTCATAAGTTGATGGCCTTAAATGTATCCAGGTGTTCAGATGAAAGCTTACAGTATATGCATCCAGGAGATTGGAAACCAAAGTTTCCCAGATGTCCACCCTTAAAATTTTTCAGTAGCTATTTTCTTGTAGCTCTATGTGAGAATAAATCAAACATCCTTTTCTAATCATGACCATCACAATGTGCCTAATTATCTGCTGGACTTCTGGAAAGATAGTGGGGGGGGAAGTCAATAAAGCCACTTAAAAGCCAATAAATACTACTTGCTCACTTACACAGTAAGCTCCAGTAGACCAGCATGAGGAGCCCAGACCGATACCAAAAATGGCAAGGATGTAAGGTGGTGACAGCTGAACAGACCTGCAGTGATAGGGAAAAAAGACACGTCCAACAGAGCCTAGGATAGGCAGCCAGAGCCAGCGGCATATGCGGTCACTCAGCGGGAGAACCACAGCTGTCAAAACAAGTCTGTGATGTCAAGCAGGCTTTAAAAGTAGGCAGAGCCTTTGAACTGTCACAGCCACACCCACTCTGACATCACTGGCTTGTTTTGACAGCTGTGGTTCTCCCACTAGTTCTGCCTGCCCTCCATATCACTGCAGGTCCATTCAGCTGTCACCACCTTACATCCTTGGAATTCTGTAAATCGGTCTGGGCTCCCCATGCTGGTCTATTGGAACTTATTGAGTAAGTGAGCTGTGTTTAATAAATTGGCATTTTGCCAGTTTACGAACACCAGTGCCCTGTGCTGTAATTCAATAAAGCTGCTGTGCCACTTTTCTGGCATGTTAATGTGTTGTGCTTGATTAAAAAGACAACTGCAACAGTTTTGGTTCTGACAGCGACTCATTCACCAAATTCAGGTAGTTCTTCTTTGCTCCATTTCTATATTGTGATGCAACACTTGCACCAAATTCACAATAAAATACCGATGATTCTAGAGTGGAGCTAATTAAAACCACCTTTTGGTGTACAGAGACAGATTTTGCAAAATTGTCTTGCATGCATTCTATAATTGGAGAAGCATTGCGGATTTATGGGAGATTTAGAAGTGGAAAAATCCCTCCTCTAGGGTTTATTCTTGCTTCTTAATTTCTCATAAACCAGCATCTTGCATTGATCTGACGTTTGCAAACCCCTTGTTGTTGGCGGATGTTCAAAAGACAGTGTATTTCCCCAATGGGCTGTCAGATCATTCGGTGGCACTAACAATACGAACTTCTGCCATATGTCACATGTCTTTATGGAGGCTGGGTCCTCACTGGATTTCTCATCCCAAAAAGGAGGAGAAAATACCCGACACTGTCCAACAGTCAATGAACAAAGGGTCTGCTTCTCCAGGTTCAGTTTGGGATGCCTTTAACACCTATGTTAGGGGCTTATACATCTCCCTCATATCCACTATACATACTGAACAGGCCCTGGATCTCAAGGCTCTTCAGAGGGAGGTGGACGAATGGTCCTTGCAGTATACTACCACAGACGCCTTAAAGGATTTTGAATAGCTACTGTCTGCTAAGAGGGACTTGCAGTTACATATGGCTGAGGTCGTGAGATTAGATTTACATAGTAGCAGGCAACTTTTGTTTGAACAGGGGGATAAAAATGGAAGATATTTGGACATGTGCTTTCTCAACATGATAGGCCCCTCAGTTCTATATCCAAAATCTGTGCTTCTGATGGGTCTATGGTCTCCTCTCCTGAGGAAATACTACGGGAATTTATCAACTACTATAGTCAGTTGTATGCCTCTGGCACCCTGTGTGCCGATGACCTTTTGCTGTTTCTACATGATGCGGGCCCTTCGCTCCTGAGTGCATTGAGAGTTCTGGAAGCCTTGTCTGCAGTTACAGACCTTCATGTTAACTGGCACAAATCTATGTATTTTTTATTGATCCTGGTGCACAGGAAGATACTCCACCTGACCCTCCGTTGCAGCAGGTTGACTCTTTTTGTTACTTCGGAGTAATAGTTTCCCTCTCAGTGTCGGATTATATATCCCTTAATCTGCTTCCTGTTTTACAAAATGCTAAAATTCCAAATCTTTCTTTGCACAGCTAAATCAATTGTTCTCCTTCCTATGGTACCAACAGAGCCCACGCTACATGTTTACCACTTTAGTAAGACCAGCTCTGCATGGTGATTTAGCTTTCCCAGATTGCCATAAATACTAACTCGCCACACAGCTAGTATCTGCTGATTGGTGGCTCCAACTAGATGTCTCTAACTTGTGTATGATGCTAGAGGCAGCCATCCTGGACTCCCTAGAAGCCTTAAAGCCCTGATACTTAAGGTCCCCTACCCCCCATCCCCTTCAATGCTGACTACCCTAAAAGCTTTGAATGCAAGTCTTAGCTTACAGCCTCAGGCTTTAACCTCTATCTCCCATCATACCCCACTTTGGAACAATCCAAATTTACCCCATTTTTATACCCTGTCTGACCCTCAGGCTTGGGCTAAAAATCAGATTAAACCTATTTCTCACACTGTTAATAATGGGTACTTAAGACCTTTGTTTCTCTTTGCTCTGATTATAACATCCAATCCCATTGTTTCTTTGGACACCTGCAGGTTGCTCACACCTTTACTGCTCAATTTCCACATCACCCCCTACAGCTAGAATGTTCAGATCTGGAAACCTTGTTAAGAACTGATTCTCTCACAAAACCAGCCTCAATGCTCTACATGCACCTCCTTGTGGTGTCGCTTCTGGATTTGTCCTTGCTTAGGCAAAAATGGCTTCGCAATATCTCAGATTTGGATTATGAGGACTGGAGTGACATGTGGGGCATCCCTTTTAAACAGCTGCTGTCCGTCAGAGATTGGCATATACAATTCAAGATCACACATTGAGCTTACTATACACCCCATTCAAAGACTCAACCCGTCTCTTTCTCCAGCTTGCTGGAGATATGACCATGCAGTGGGGGATTTTTTTCATATTTTTGGACATGTCCGGTCATAAAGGCATACTGGGAGGCAGTGGTTAATCTCATCCATTTAGTATCAATGATCCCTTTTGCCCCCTCTCCCAGAATCTGCCTGCTGGGCCTGGTAGATGGCCTCTCATCTATAACTGCTGGTAAAACGTTAATTGGACTGTTTCTGTTTTATGCTAGGAAGGTGCTTACACTGCACTGGAAAAAAACCTTCTCCCACTATAGCCTATTGCAAGCAATTGGTTAACACCAACCTATCACTCTACAAAAGACACTTACACACACACAGAGGCTGCACCCATAAGGTTGATAAGGTCTGGGCGAAGTGATTGGAGGATGTAGCCATGATGTAGTTCTTACCCTGTGTATCAGTCTAGACTAGGAGATCACTACTTAGGTATTCACTTCTACTACTATCCTCTCCTTAAAGGGAAGGACGTTTGTTAGGTAAATATCCTCGAGCATCTGCATACTTCTGCACGAGCTACACAAACACAACATGTTTTTTGTACCTCATGTTATGTCGGTGCCATGTTCTGGGCATTGGTTAAGGATAGTATGCACCTGCATGTGCTGTACTACCTGGCTGTAGCATTTTTTCTTTTTTTTTGTTTTTAAACCATGATGAAAAACAATAAAATGTTAAAATAAAAAAAAATTGGCGCAGCATGAGCCAAATTCAAGCACAGTTCCAAAAAGGACATGAATTTAGCGCACACGATACCACTTTTAGAACACATGCAAATCTTTCACAAAATCTGTCTTCCCCAGTCTTTATGAATGAATATCTGGCAGCATCAACCCAAAACAGACATCAACTATGGGTGGCTTTCCGGATGTATCTGCACCCTTCTGGTACAACTCAAGAAAAGAGTTAGAGTGGAACTAGAAACATATTTTTAGTTTTGAAGAGTGTGGGGAAGGGTTAGAATCTTAGTCAAGTTTTTACTGTTGTATGTGTTTCATCTGTGAAAATTTTTGGGAACAATAAGTGAGGGGACTTTTGCCTCAAAGTGAGCAAAAATGCCATCTTTGAAAGATGTGCCAGGAGCAAGTGACCCCAATGGGAGATTACCTCTTTCTTCCTGTTACAGTGACAGCTCTATACTTTTAGTTTGCGGTTTCCTTCAGTAGTCACCAGAACAGAAAGTGAAATGGATTCCCATAAAATGGATAACAGACAACATTTTGGACACAAAAAACTGGTATACAAAAGAGCATCATTAAATCCACTCCATGCTGGTATACATTCAAGGTTTCTTACCTGAGAGCGGTTTCGATCAATGATAAGAACGCAGTGAACTGTGAAACAATTATACTTTTGATATTTGGATCTTTTTCTTTCTGTTCTGTCAGTGCATGCATTAAAGCAGTGATCTGTAATGCAAAAATGAATGTCATTTGTATGACTACACAATACACTATGTCTCAGACTAGGCTTAAAGTGTATGCAAGGGCTTTTTGTTGTCGATAAAATAAGAAAGAGTTAAACACCCCAATATTGGTCCTGGTGCTCATTGTCACTGAGACAAAGTGAGGAGAAATAGAAATAATTTTCAGTTGTCACCGGAGCAAGAGGTGAGGGAAAATCTAGAGGGGAGACCTGTTCCTGTGACAACTCTAAAGATTTTCTCTGTCCGTAGGATAACAAGTTAAAAGAAAACTCCCTGGCAAAACACAGGCAGCAAAGAAAAAAAAAACATAAAACAAAACAGGAGTTTTAAACCTTTCCTATATAAAAATGATTTTAAGATTAAGGATGTATTGCATGTCTTACTTTGGAACTGGACATCCACGTCTGATTATTATTTTGGCTGTCACCCAGGTCGCACTCGTCCTCCGGACATTCCACCAAATGCTCCAAGTACAATTCACCTCTACACATAGGACACACTGCATTTGGCTGTAGGGAAAAATGCAGGTTAAAGATTGAAAATGTTTACTAGCTCATAATTTAATAGGAAAAACTCTTACCTTAGTTATCCGAATAACCTGACAAATGCATGCTTTACAAAAGACATGTGCACAGCGGGTTATAACTGGCATGTTCAGAGAGTCCAGACATATAGAACATTCTTCATCTGAGCCTGAGCTCAGCACCATCTTTATCTTGTTCACCAGTTTCTCTTGCAATTCGCCTGGGGTTGAACTGGCTGAAAATGTACATGTAAATAGACACACACTATATGATTTAATTAAGGATATCATTTTTACAGTTCTTGTGTATGTCCAGTCCAAACTTTTGTTTCTTGTTTTGGACTGAGTAGGAAAGGGTTAGAGAAGCCCTGTCAGATTTGTATTGCTTTTGGGGCTCCATTAGAGAGATTTTCCCTCACTACCTATCCTGCTGACATTATACTAGATAGGAAGTGAGAGGAACTCTAACAGAAACACAGAAAGAAACAAAAAAAATGCTTTCTATAGTAGATTATAAAAAAGCTAGAACTAATGTCAGGTTTTATTTTGGCCTGCATCCCTGTTGACAATTTTACCTCACTTTCTGTATGGTGAAACTGTTGTGAGCAGGAGAGGAATTGAGGGTAAATTCAAAATAGCAGTAAAAAAAAAAAAAAAAAAAAAAAAAAAAAAAACAATCATTCTACACTCAAACTAGGAAAAAAAGCTTTTGGCTTGACATACATTTCAGATAGCAAGTCACTTTAGACCAGTTTACTTATGTTTAATGGAGTTGACCCTGGGATTCAACACAGCTGGGTTGACCTAAGACATTGCGAGGCCATCTAGGTGGAAATGTTACCAGTGTGCCCTGTGACTGGGGATTCCACACTGCTGGGTATACCTAAGACAACTCCATAAAGTGCCATGAGATATGATGGCTCTGAAACTCCTTTCCATTCAGAGCAGCAATGGCTTTTCTAGGAAGTGCTCTGAAACCAATGAACCTTACATCACATCATGCTGAGCACGACAACTCTGATAACAGCTGTAATAAATATGCTGTTTGAAGAATTGTAGCAATAGCAGGCCTACATGTAGCAATCTATCATACGTGTAACAGCTCCATCTAGTGTGTAAAATTAGAATGTCACAGAAATTGTAATCCACATATTTTCCATTTCACTGTAAGGAAAAAAGAACCATAAATCTGAGCTTAACAAAATATTCTGCACGTGTAATGAAACCATTAAATCAGACTATACCAGACAGAGCACTTGACAGACTGGTTGGAACCAGATGGGGGTGACAGCAGATCTGCCTTAATCGAACAAGCACTGCAAGCACATCAGCATAATGTGTCAGGACTGTTCCTTCATTAAAGTACCTGAAAGACAATGTATATTTACAGTAAGTACACTAGTATTTTTTTATCCCAACATCATGTTATACAATTAAGCCCCCATTCACACTTGAGCATTTTTCTGCTTCTTTCCCTATGCCTGACAATCCCATTCTTTCTAGCTGTGTCTGTTCACACTTGTGCGCTCAGGTGCCCTAAACACAAAAAAAGTACATGAGCTTTTATCTGACCATATTCAGGCATTTTTGATCCTAGAGATTTCAATAGGAATGCCTGTAAAAGCATGATACGTGCATTTTCACACTTGTTTTTACCCCTTTTGAGTTCCTCTCCTCCTCCTCCCCTTGCCCAGCCCAGGACAAAACCTCCTGACGCTTGATACACATGCAAAAACGCCTATAAAATGCCTGAATAAAATGCCTGTAATACGACAGAAAAATGCCAGAAAAAAAGGCTGCAAAATCATCAGGAATATGCTTTGTTCAGGTGTGAATGCAAGCTTAAGCATATGTCAAGGAAAAAAAAATTTTTTTTTAAAAGCAGTACATCTCTATAAACTGCATGTATACATGTTTTCTCTTTAAATATCCTGCACATACAGAAAAAAGAGCCATTTTTACATACCTCTAAATTCTGTATTTTGGAGTACAGTACAAAAGAATCAATTCATCGACCATAGGTTATACCTACGCTACCTTCAAGTGATTGGACACTGGCAAAAGCTTTGCCGAGTCCACACCTAGTGTCCCTATGTGACCCCGCTTCATTCAAGAAGGCTCCAGTTTTGTTAGCAAGCAATAAAAAGAACACCGAGAAGAGAGGGGAGAGACCTGTGCTTTGTACTGTACTCCAAGATACAGAATTTACAGCTACATTAAAATTCCTCTTATCTTTATCGTACAGGACAGGACACAGGAGGCGATTAAAAAGGATGTCCCCATGCTAAACAGTTGCAAGAGCCCCACAGGAAGAAAAGGTGGCGGCCAACAGGACCCAAAACAACTGTTAACAGGAGCAACAGTGGAGACTAAACAGTCCCCTAGCAAACACTTTGGGAGAACGTGAACGAATTTAGGCGTCAAGGCTCAAAGGAGTGCAGACTCTAGGTGCTGTATAGGCCTGAGAACCTGATCTTAATGGGGGCATGGGGTTAAAAAGGGAAGGAAGGGTTTGTTCCCGAGAGTAGAAGCCAAAAGAAAAGAAAAATAGGGGCAAAATGACCACCCAGGTGTGGGGGTGAGGTTAAGAGATCCAAAGGGGGAATCTTCCAGTAAAAAAATGAGAGAAAACAGGGGGAGATTTCCAAATCCTAACATCTGAAACCAGTTTTGCAATTTTGATATTTGTTAGTAAAACTGTACATATCATCGCAACTACTATCCATGGGAAACTACAGGTAACCTGCATGAAAACTGCAGAGCAGCAGTGTGAAATGACCCTTACAAACTTCTCTAGCAATGCATCTTTTTGTCTATTCAAGAGGCCAGAGAGTATGGGGCGGGCTATACAGTGACTGATCACTCTGATAGCCAATCATAGGACTCAGTGAACAACAACATAGGGTCAGAAGCATAAATAGGCTTCCAGCAGGAATTCTTTTTAACCACTTGCCTACTGGGCACTTATACCCCCTTCCTTACCAGGCCAATTTTCAGCTTTCAGCACTGTCGCAGTTTGAATGACAATTGTGCGGTCATGCAACATTGTACTCATATGAAATTTTTATAATTTTTTCTCACAAATAGAGCTTTCCTTTGGTGGTATTTACTTGCCGCTGGGTGTTTTACTTTTTGCGCTATAAACAAAAAAAGAGCAAAACATTTGAAAAAAAGTTTCTTTGTTTCTATTATAAAATTTTGCAAACAGGTAATTTTTCTCCTTCACTGATGTGCGTTGATGAAGCTGCACTGATGGGCACTGATAAGCGGCACTAATGAGGTGGCATGGATAGGCGGCACTGATAAGTGGAACTGATAGGTGGCACTGATTATGGGTACTGATAGTCAGCACTGACTGGCGGAATTGCTGGGCATTGACTGGCACAGGGCACTGACTGGCACAGGTGGGTGGCACTGATGGGCACAGGTGAGTGACACAGGTGGCTGGCACTGCTGGGCACCAATCATCAGAGCACTGATCATCAGTGCCCTGATCATCGGTGCCCTGATCATCGGTACCAATTCCTGCTCTGAAAACTGCTGATTCTCGGCAGATATTATCCCATGTTCTGACAGCTGGAGGAAAGTGCAGCCGAGAGCCGGCAATTGCATTCCCTGTGATCAGTGTGTCAATGGACACGACTGATCACATGGTAAAAAGCCGCTGTGATTGGCCTTTTACCACATCACGTGATCAGCTGTGTCCGTAGGACACAGCGATCACGGAGATCGCCAGGGGCGCACAGGAGAGCACGCTCTGGGAGGATGTCATATGACGCCCTCCCAGAACTGGCTGGCCGCAGTGTAGCCGTCATTCGGTTATCTGCAGTCGGAAACTAGTTAAATACAGGAGTCAGAATGGCCACAAAGTCTCAGTGCAAACTCTTACCTGCTAATAATAGCTTTTCCTTCATTCTGCATTGATTCATATATTTTTCTTTCTTCAGGTGAAAGTTTGAGGTGCTGGATATAAACTTTACGTTCTGGCAATTGCAGTACTGGCTTTCCTTTAACTTTTGTTGTTTTTGTCCTCCTCAGGGTGATATTTTTAATAAGTGCTTGTAATCGGCTAAAAGAAAAATGAATGTCTTAATTGTCATGTATACAGATGTAATAGTGATTTAAAATGTTAAATGTGTATATAGATTTACAATATAAAAAATTTTAAATTTTCATTCTTTGAAAGGAAAATCTGTGAGTGGGGGGAGGGAAGGGAAGCAAAGTTGGAGAATCTGGATGGGATCCGAACACAGACAGCAGATAAGCAGATACCCAACACAGCGTCAGATGTTCATTGCTCTGAAGAGGACTGGCATCAGAGAAGAGATGATTTCTACAGGAATCAACTGATGAAAACAGTTAAAGTGAACCATTGAGCAACCGGAAGAAAACAATGTTAAAACCCCTATACAGCAGACATAAACTTTTATGCAGCATATAGGGAGTCATACACACATCTAATTTCCTGGTTACCTATCACATTTTTGGAGGCCCTTGAGTAACAAAACAGTGGAAACACCCACAAAATGACCACAATTGCAAAAGCACACACCCCAACGTATTTCCTATGAGGCATGACGAGTCTTTTGAAGACTTTATTTCTTGGCCACAAGTTTTTGTAAAATGTGAAAATTAAAATTATTATTTTTTTCTTTTATTTTACACAAAACTGTAAGTTAATTAAGATATTTCTTGCACACAGCATGGGCATACTTAGAATTACAACCCAAAACACATTTTGTTACTCCTGAGTATGTCAATATCACACGTGAGACCCTTTCATTTTTTGGACTGATTATATACTGGACATTGTATCTTGTGTATCACACAAATCAACCAACTGTATCAAAACCAATGTACTGTAATGGTTGCCTCTATATTAGTGGTCAGGAAATGTGTAACCTCACCTATAGCATTCCCAGTGCATATAGTCCAAGCAAGCCTAGCCTACTGGTACATGGCTACCCCCGGGAATGCCATGTTCACTGGCCAGGAAGGACAGAAGGCTAAAAGAAAGGAAGAACAAAAGAAACTGCCAAAGACATCTTCAGAAAACAGACAAAGGATCAGGGTTTGTACAGGTGGCAGGCAGATGCAATACTGCACTGGTGTGGCGGTGATCATGAAGACTCTTGCTTGCTGCACTGGTGTGGCGGTGATCAGGAACACTCTTGCTTGCTGCACTGGTGTGGCGGTGATCAGGAAGACTCTTGCTTGCTGCACTGGTGTGGCGGTGATCAGGAACACTCTTGCTTGCTGCACTGGTCTGCTAACAGTGGAACTTGTGTAGTGTGATCAGGAACACGGTTGCTAGCTTACATTGGTCTGCTGACACTGGGACTGGTGTGGGTCACTCAAGGATACCATTGCTGGTTTACACTTGTGTGGTAACACTGATTGGTGTGGCAGTGATAAGAAACACTGTTGCTGGCATACACTAGTCTGGTGACACTGGGATTCGTATGGCGGTGGTCAAAAAAACTATTGCTTGCTACACTGATCTGGTGTGGAGGAAATCAGGAACACTGTTTCTAGCTACACTGGTCTGGCAGTGATCGGAGAACTGTGACTGGCTGCACTGTAAGGCTCGTACACACAGGAGGCTGGGGGTGGTAAAACTTCTTGGTTGGGCCACGGATTTGTTGCCCCTCAACCCCTCCTTTAGCTGCAGATGCAGCGACCTGGGGTGTTTCAGAGCGGCAGTAGGCATTTATCCCCTTGTATGCCTGCCGACCATGACCCATTCAAGTACATAGGGGTGCTTGTGCAGGAGGGGTTAAAGCAGGTGGTGAGGAGGCAATAAAAAGCATTTTTGCTGCTCTCTGAACAGCAATTTGAACATGGATGGCTCATTAGAGAGCATCACACATGTAAACAAGTCCTTATGGTGACACTATGACTGGTTTGGCAGTAATCAGGGACACTGGGATTGGTGTGGTGGTGATAAGGGACACTATGACTGTTGTGACGTGAGTGGACGGCAGTGATTAGGGAAACTGACTGGCAGCACAAATTTGGTGGCACTGTACTCCTGTGGCGGTGATCAGAGACAATGGTTGGTGACATTGAAATACAGTAATATCAGAGCAGCCAGCCATTGTATATGATCACTGCCACAGCAGTACATAGTGACCATCTACACTGGCTCTTGTGACAGCAAGTACAATTTTTTTTTTACTGTTACCAGAGCAGTGCAATAGCAGTCCATAGTGACACTGTACTGCTCTGTAGGAAGAGTTGGGATTTTTTTTTTTCCCACAATGACTGCAATGACTGCAAAAGCAATTGCTTTAACTGTATTTGGTATCCATTCATGATGTCAAAGTTTACTATAGTGATAGACCACAGCGATCAGAAGGTACCAGGGCCCGGTGCACTATTCAGTGATCCACTGTGTTCTGTGGACACAGCAATCACAGATCTCGCTGCTATGAAGATGTACCAGTATGCCCTCCCAGAACAATGCTGTTCCAACCTGGCCACTGCACATAAATGGCCAGGTGGGAGAAGCATCGTTCTGGGAGGACATACCTAGGCTACTAAGTTTACTAGCAAGTTGTCCTAAAGAGGAACTTTACCCCTAACAACTTAACAAAAAATATTTACACTTGACACAATGCAGTCAGGCAAGTACTGTTCTCCTGGCAACCACAAAACCCAGACACATTCATCGGATTGCCAGACAGAGAAGCGTGATCCGTCACTCCGGAAGACAAGTCTCCACTGCTCTACAGTCCAGTGGTGGCGTGCTTTACACCACTGCATCCGACGCCCAAATACTTTTGGAAGGAGAGAGAGAGAGAGAGAGAGAGAGAGAGAGAGAGAGAGTGTGAGTGTGTGAGTGTGTGTGTGTAGTAAAAATTTGGGATTTTTTCAGAATGTAAGTTTACAAACTTCAACATCTTTCCTACAGGTAGGCTAGAAATATTTACATTTCAATGTGGAAATGAATATATTTCATATTATGACCAATAATAAACCTTACCTTAGGGTGCCTGCTATGTGGCCTCCAGAATCTTAGGATTAGGTGTTCCCAACATATAAGGTTACTGTCAAGCAAAGGACTTTACATCATGTAAATTGCTGGGCAGCTGTACTCAATCACTGCCAGTATAAAGCTCTGTGCAAGTAGGCTGTGTGCCTGTATGAATATCTATGCTATGTTTCAGGTTTGACTGAAGTACATATTAATGTTAATAAAGAAATGTATGGCAAATAAAGTAAATTGTTATGACTAGATAGACTGACAGAGTCACTTCAAGGTAAAAACATTAGAATACATTCATTATCATACCGTAAGCCTCCCTGATCTCCCATGCTGACTGGCCGTTGGATTGTGCGATGCCACCACTCCCTGGCTGTGAAGGGTTTCAATTTTAAGAAAGAGAGAATTGACCACAAATCCTTCAAGGAGTTCTGAATAGGGGTACCTATGTTACCAAAAAAGAGATTGCAATTAGGATGTTAACAATACCTGTAACTGCCCTTGTCAAAGCACAAATGATTCCATTGATCGCATCTTGAAAATTCCAATTGCCTTGCGACTAATTTGACCCTTTGACATACTTCTGATATTATTACATTGAGTCACTAACCTAGAAAATGCATACAAATCAGTAAAGTCAGAGTTCCATATCTATGTAATTGTTGTAGGCAACTGATTAAAACTATTAATGTCAGAGGACAGAAAGACAGGAAGGTAAATAGCACTTGCAGGGTGAGAAATCGGCAATTGCAGTCTCCCTGTTTTTCTAGGGTATGGTTCTTTTCTTCCTTTTATGTTACTTAAAATCCTAATGCCCTTTTACATACTCTGACAGGTTAGGCTACCAGCATTCTGCCTGTTTAAGTCTCTTTACATAATTTGGCATGGTAAGTGTTAACCTCCCTGGCGGTATGATTATTTCAGATTTTTGGTGCTGAAAGCGATACCATTATTTTGCATGGAAATTTGGCGTTTTATATTGTAGGCCTGTAATTTTTAGGAATAACTCAATAAAATCTGTCCGAACAAGAGTCTAGTAAACATCCCGGGTAGGATAAAACTTGAAACACGAAATCATAAATTATAATTTAATAAATAATCATAAAAAATAATAATACATTTAATTCAATAATATAATCAAACCAAAAACACTGAAATTTGAAATATAGCGCCAAGTTCACCCATCACTGAGCAAAATCGCAGAATCGTTTTCAGTGTCTGATGACGAATTTCCCCACAAATCATTATCACTCAATTCTGCAAGTGGTTCTAATTTACTATCGCTGTTCTCTAGCTGGTCTAAAACCACTTTTGACCTAAAGGGACGCTTTTTGGACGCCATGGACATTTCTCAGTTTCCAGGCAGAAAGAACAGTAAAAATGCAGGCAGGGCACAGGACAAAGCACTCGGGACAAAATGTATGTGAAATGGTTTGATACGGTAATGTTTTACTATGTGATTTTATTGAATGTCATTTTTTGTCATTTTCAAATTTCCCACTGTTCCGTCCCCCGTACATCCCGACGCTCGCAGGGGACAGAACCCAGAAGACAGGTGCCGGCATCCGCCGGATTACATTGCCGGGGACACTGCAGGAGGGACATCGCGGGAGCGCAGGACAAGGTAAGTGATCAAGGGATCATGGAGCAGCGCCGCATGGTAAGCCCGAGTGTAGCTCGGGGTTACACTTGTGGTACTGAAACTTTACCCCAAGCTACACTCAGGAATACCGTCAGGGAGGCTACATAGCATTAAGAGGTATAAAAAGTTATCCAAATATAATAGGAGACTACAGGACCCATAACTAGAAGCCACATCACCTTGGACAAAACACACAGGTCATACCTGTTAGCACCCATCGTCTCTCTGAATCCAGGCTGTGAACAGCTTTTGTTTGCTGGGCATTTGGATTTCGGATTGTGTGCCCTTCATCCAACACAACTCTTAGCCACCTTATTTTATGTACTGGACTCTCAGTCTGAAAGAGCAAATCAATGATTGAGATCGGTTAAGAACCAAACAAGACTTCATAAATAGATACAGATACAGTTCTGCAAAAGATCAGAAACCATATTTAGCCACAAATCTCCAGGACAAGGTATAATCCAAACATGGACACCCAAAGGGCCTTCCTCTATGGGGCACTTAAAGGGTCTTCATCATTGGTGCTTTTAGGTGTTCAGGCAGAAATTTGCAGATACCTCTACATGTCTATTTCATTTACTACCAGTTTAGGCAGTGAGCTTTTTTGAAATTAATTGTACAAAACCTTTCTATAATCTCATATTATTACTTTGAGATTTTTATTCATTTAAACATGGGAGGCTCACAGCCAGTCATTAATGAATAAGCATTATATATTAATAGTTTGGTCCAATACCAAGTTGAGGTAACCCCTTTATATGCTGCAGTTTAAAGTATTTAGCCAGTGTTCTGGAGTGAGTGCTTGGCAAACATTGCCTTGGTATATTTCCTAAATGAAGCCAAAGAAAAAAAGACTAACTTACTGTAATGCAAACTTCAGTATAAAATGACAACATTTGACACTAAAAAGATTGACGCTTCATAAAAACGAATTTATACACTCACTGTAAAATCCTTTCCTTGGAGTCCATTGAGGGACACAAGACTTTATTCATCTTTGGTTATATTGCTCCCTACATGAGGTTTTGGCACTGGCAAACAAAGAAACTGTAGGCCATCCCAGAATAATGCCTAATATCGAGCATACCTCTGTTGGTGACAAGCAGTATCCAAAACATGATCATAAACATGGAGGGGAGGATCCTGTGTCACCCAGTGGACTCCAAGAAAAGGCTTTTACAATGAGTACAAAAGTCACAGAAAGTCAATTCCCCTAGGATGTCTAAAAGCAGTCCAACTGAGGGGTAGGCAACACAGCAAATAAATATGAACACACCTGAGGAAAATAAAAGATAACTGGGCAATTTCTGCAGCTGAAAGAGCTGTATGAAGAACCTTATGCCTGAAGCTAGAATTCAATAATGTCTCAGTATGCACAGAGGATCAGGTGGTAGTCTTGCAAATCTGGGAAATAGTTGTTTGATGCTGAAATTTCCACAAAGCAAAAGCAGACCTAATATAGTGAGTCTGGACAGGAAAGGGTGGAGCCCAATTCTTAAGACTGTAAGCTTGGATAATGGTCTGTCTGAACCATGTAGAGATGGTGGAAAGAATATGGTACAACCCTTATGAGAAACAGCCAAGATTTCTTTCTAAAAAGAAGCAACAGCCTGATCCACATCTAGACAATGAAGGGCAAATTCTCTTTGGTGTAATGGAGCCAGACAGAGGGATTTAAGAACAATGTTCTAGTTGAGCTGAAAGGTAGGAACTACCTTTGGCAAAAAGGAAGTTCTAGGTCTTAACACCATCTTGTCCCTATGCAGCACCAAAAGGGTTCCTTGCTGTATAAGACTGCTAGTTCAGACACTCGCCTCGCAGAGATGATGGCCACAAGGGATATAGTGGTTGAAAGTAGAGAGAAGAATGTCTCTAATAGGTTCAAATATCGGCTTCTGAAGCAGAGAGAATTAGACTTTTATTTCACAGGGGAACAAAATCGCAAGATGTATGGGAGACTAGACTACTGTTTATACAAAGGTTTTAGACAAGGAATGAGTGGCTAACGATTTCTGAAACAAGATAGAAAGAGCATAAACCGGGCCTTGGATAGGGTCAAGAGTTAAACGCTGGTCCAGCTCAAGCTGTATCAAGGAGAGGGATTCAACCCACAGGAAATCTACAGTGGAAACCCTGAGACACCAAGTGAAGTATGCCTTCCATGTTCAATGACAAACCTCACAAGCAGTTGACTTCCTTCATTTTACCACAGTGGATATCACAGATTTAGAAATCTCCCTGTCTGTAAGGACCTGGGCTTCAACAGCCATGCTGTTAAAGCCAGCCATTATGAACCAGAATGGAAAAACAGTCCTTTCCCAGAGGAAGAAAGTTCAGGGGAGGAAAGGTATAGATCCTGGTGTACTGATCCCATGGATTCACCTGAGTATCCATTGTTTCTGCTAGAGGATCCGTTACTTGGAAACAAACCTATCTGGGTCCAGACATTGGCAGCTAATGAAGCCTATGTAGCTTATATCAAATACACCAGTGATAGAATCCTGTAAACAACTATCAGCTGCTGTATATTAACACAAAAAAGTGTCTTAGCTCAAGTTACACATATACATACAGCACTATATATTCAAACCATATCATAGTGACTAGAATTGCAAATATTAACATTAACGTGTAGTGTCCAGTGCTCAAGAAAACTGAATGCACATGTATAGATTGAGAGCTAATGAAACCTGACTGTCCATTGTCTATGCCTGAGATGAAAATGGCACAGAAGCCTGGAACATGAAGGTTCTGCTCAGGACAGGATTTTCTGTACCTCTTTGACGTACACAGTGTAGTTTAAGGATACAAGCATTAGTTTAAAATGCTTTGTCAAGGGATCATTCCCCAGTTATCAGATCCCCCATGTGGGCCTAGCACCTCCAAGATAGGTTGCAGTGCAGGGCTTTGTTAAGAAGGGATACTGCTTGATGCACAGAGGGGCAGCCCACTTTTTTTATCAAAGTCCTCGTCAAATGGGTACAAGGCTAATAGATGCTTGGAAAGGACAAAAAGCTTGCCAGGGTTCTTCCAATCTCCATAAAGAAAGATTGTGAATAGTGGGTGCAACAGGAAGGTCTTGGCATTTTTAGGAGCCCTCAAAGAGCCTTCAGTGGGACAGCAGTAATAGAAGCTACAGGCTGTTTCTGGAGATTTAAAGTGTTGTGTACTGCCTCAACAACAGCCAAAAAAGCGTATTTTAGGAGTAATGGCAGAGCCTTTGACACCTTCGTTACAGGTTTGTTCATTAGGACTTAAGAGACTTAGCTTCAGAAAGCTGTACACTCAGTACAGTAGGACTGTTCCCTGTGCATCTAGAATCAGACATGCTGCACTGCAGGGTGGCAAGCAATGTAGCTCAGGGTGCAAGGATAGGGCTCAGAGGCCCAGTGTCCTAAAGTAACATTTCAGGCTAGCCTCCCTGCAATGTCTAGTCCAGAGGGGTCTGAGTATGGCACTTTAAAGTCAAGCTGAGGAAAGGCTGATCTGGATACCTGCGTATAGAGAACAGCTAGCTCATCAGTAATGCAAACAAATTGGATTTGGTGGTGAACCACAGCAACTTGGCAGTTCCCCCAATTTGCTGTGAATTGTGATTTGTGGTACAGAGAACCAAAGAAAATCATAAAAGTGATTAAACATTTTCGCAGACCTTTGGTAAGGGTCCAGAGTTGGCTATACAGCCAACCTGCCAAGGTCAGAGAGTTTAAACCTGGGGATCGGGTGCTTGTGTTAGGGCCTACTATGAAGAGCAAGTGTCTTGCAAAATGACAGGGACCATGTGGAATGTGGATGCCCAGACCCCTGGGGAGGGAGGGTATGTAGAGAGTCAGCCTGGGGAAAGTTTAGGAGGGGGTAATTATAGAAGGTAGGGTACTTTCCCTTCAGGTCTGTTTATTAAGCAGATGGTTAGGGGGGCTGATGGATGGCAGTTTTGCTGTCTGTAGTGAAGAGACCTGGATGCTTTCTGGAAGTCTCAATAATCTGGCTTTGACCTGCTGTGTGAGCTTGCCTTTAACAGAGACTTTGAAAGACTGTGTATGCTGTGGCTGGGATGCTGAAATTTATTCATGCAAGACTGTGTTGTACTGATTTACCTGTCGTGTTTAAACTGAATCTGAAGATGAAACCCATCGCTTTTCGGTTTTGTGATAAATAAAGCAGATTTTAAAGTTTACTGAACATTCTGCCAAGAGCCTGTTTACCCCTGTGATCCTGACACAGGATACAAGGTTTTTGCATATCCACACAATACAATAGAGTTATGCTACCATATTCAGGTGATAAGACACTGGCAAAAATACAGACACTGGCATAAGCCCTTCCAGCTCAGCAAGGCTTCATTTTTTTGCAGCAGGAAATTAATCAAAAGGGAAGAGGGGTGGGATCCCTGTATCCTGTGATGCACTCCATAAAAAAGGTTTTTATAGGTAAAGAGCATCTTCATATTTATTATAGAGATGTCCAAAAGCACTTAATATTAGAGGAGGGCAAGAGAGCAACAAACCAACAGGTCCTAAACAAATAAATCAGAACAGGTTAGAACCTGCGCAGCAGCCTGCAAGACCAAAAAAAGTGTCCATAGCGGCTCAAACATCTACTTGGTAAAGCTTCATAAAAGAATGAACCAAAGACCAGGTAGCAGCCCTACAAACTTGAGCTACTAAAGCCTAAATGACAAACAGTGCAGGAAGCACCAACACTCCTTGTAGAATGAGCCAACACAAAAAATTTGAAACTTTGCCCATTAGACTATAAGCTTGAGAAATAAGCTGATGGATTGTAGATTTGGAAGCTTCATGACCCTTCCTTGGCCCTTCAGGAAGCACAAAGAGGGAATCAGACTGACAAATTGCAGCAGTCAACTTAAGGTAACATCTGATAGCCTGAACCACAACTAAGGTGTGAAAAGCCTTGTTCCCTGACATCTGAGGCATAAGACAGAAAAACAGCAACACAATGTCCTGGATGAGATAGAACAAAAAAAACCCACCTTAGATAAAAAGAAAAGTTGAGGCCATAGAACCACCTTGTCACAGTGGAGCACCATGAACAGTTTCTAACAAGGAAGAGTATCCAACTGCAAAACTCCCCAAGCTACAGTAACAAAAACCAGAAAAATAACCTTTTGTGTCAGGACTAAAAGGAACATCTCAAATGAGTTCAAAAGGAGATTTCTGCAATACAGAAAGTAGCAGGTTGAGGTCCCACAGAGTCAACAGTCTTAACCAATGGAACAATGGAACAATACTTGTGGCACACTGCACAAAGGTACCCACATAGGAATAAGAAACAATTGGTGCCTGAAAAATGACTGCCAAAGCAGAGATCAATTCTGAGCTTGTAAAAGGCCAGGATGTGACCCAAAATATACTTGCGAGGATGAAGTCCCCTATTCTTACACCAAACAAAATAAGATTTCCAAGTTCTGTGAAAAAGAAAAAACTCAAACATACACAACAGTGGTAATTAAACTTGACTAGCTGTTGAGATAAAATGAGATTGCCTTGTACAGTTTTTTTTTTTAGAGTCTGTCCTGAAAATCTGGATGTTAGTGCAAATAAATAATCACAGACAGTACTCAATTGTTTTTGTTGCAAGCACACTAATAAGGCTACTATCACCTCAAGCAAGTTCTGTGGTAAATGTTCTGTGAAGTCGCCTTCAGTGGGGAAAGAATGACCAAATCATAAACTCCCATTTCTCAGAACCTTGGCTTCAACAGCCATGCCATTAAAGTAATTGACTATAAAAAAAAAAAAGGTGAAAGAGCAGACCTTGTGACAGGAGGCTGGGTAGATCCGGAGGGGTCTATGGATTGACCAACAACACATTCACAATGTCAGAGTAGCATGTTCTTCTAGATCAGGCGAGGCAATCAGAATCACTGGATTTCATTACACTTGCATCCTGTGACCCAGAGGAGCTAAAAGCAGAAAGGCATTAAATTAGAGAGAACTGGTCCCAATGTGTCACCAAAGTATCTACTTTGAAAGCTTGAGGATCCCTGGTCCTGGAGAAGAATACGTCCAGCTTCACATTTAACCTGGATGCCAGAAGATCCACAGCTGGGGTTCACCACCATCAGCAGAGTTCTTCGAGCACCTATTGGTGGAAAAGCCCCCCTCCAGCAGAGACAGTTGTTGACAGCTGTGAAAATCCACCTGCCAATTTTCCACATCTGGAATGTGGACAACGGGCAGTGTGGGAACATGAAGTTCTGTCCAAGACAGGATGAGATCCACTTCCTCCTGAGCAGCCCAACTTGTGGTGCAGCTCCTTGATGATACAAGTATGCCACCATCTTGGCATTGTCCAACTGAACCCTTACAGAGAGGTACTTCAGCTGTGTCAATCAACAGGTCAAGGCAATAGAACTCCACCCCAAACCACCAGGCTGGCGTCTGTCACCAGGACCCTCTAAGGCAAAGGGAGAAATGATTTCCCTATCTCCAGCAAGCATTAGGAGATCAACTACTCCAGAGACAGTCTCATGCTGGCATGTTATGTAGTCGAGGAGTCCCACCTATGTGTCCTCCTGTCCCATGCCATCAAGACATTACATAGTAGAGGGCCTGAAATGAAACTATCTCAGAGAAAAGCTACAATCTTTCCTAGAACCCTTATATAAGAGAATTGAGGAATTTGTGGGAGCCTTGAACGAGTTCACCTGAGCCCTCACAAGATTTGTCCAGGAGGAAGGAAAACTCTTGTCTGGATGGTGTCCAGGGTCAGACCTAAACATTTCAACCTGTGCGTTGGGACTATGGCCAACTTCTGCAATTTCAGAACCCATCCAAACCTTTTCAAAGAAACACTACCCCTGAAAAAGTAAAATGTTCCACTTGCTTTTTGCAGGGTAACTCCACTGACCAAACACTTCAGTCATAAGATCCTGCAGATGTGTACAGACAAGACCCCCCCAAATGAGAAAGTTGTTGAAAGGAGTCCTTCCAGGGGTCAAGGAGAAACAAACCGCATGTGGGAAATCTTCAGGTTTATGCTTGCTTCGGTATTCCGTCTAGGCTTTGGCACACTCCTACAGCTGAAATTAGAGGTTGTAGAGCTGCCCCATCAGAGCAAATAAGGATTTATATAAGGCCTCCAGACAATTATCCCAGGCTTCATTAAATACTCGGACCTTGTCCACCGATACTGTTAGCTTCTTGTTGAAATGGGAGACCGCTGAATTTACCAAAAGGCATACTCCATGGTATATTGCTGAGTGAACATTTTTGATGAAATGAACACCCTGTCAGGTTGGGGCCAGTCCATGTACCCCTCATCTCTGCCATTGTTGGCTTGCAGACAAGTAGGATAGGACCCATGCTGATAACAGCTGTCCGAGTCAGCCAAGAGGGCACTGTAACAAGAAGCACCAGCACGATGGTGACCCCAGGAATAAAAGTCTCTCTGCCAGTGCTCCACTGCAACCCCTGAGTTGCCTATGTAACCTAATGAAAGAGCTATACATTGTCAGTGGGAAGTCAGTAATTGTATAGGCAGTTTTAGGCATCAGGAACCCATGAAACCATGTTTAAAAGGGCTGGAACCTGCTAGTCCTCATGTGTACACTATGAGGTTGATTTATTAATCTAGCGGTCATGAAAGGTTCCAACAAAAGAAACAAAAGAGGGTGCACCAGCCTAGTGTGTCACCCAAAGCACCATTTACTTAAAGTGACACTTAAGCTTTGTTATTTAAAAAAAAACAAAACAAAAAAAAAAACAAAAAACATGCACACAGCAGCCCCGATCCTTCTTCTTTCCGGGTCCCCGCAGGTGCTCCTGGCTCCTCCCCTCGAGCATTGCCCCCAGGGAAAGCTGTATGCCCTGGGGGCACCGCTGTGTGCTCATCCCCGAGCTGCTGCTCTATGCATCCGTAAGACACCTAGAGCCACGGCTCGACCTCCCCGCCCCCGTTCTCTCCTAATTGCTGTGACTGACAATATCAGGAGCCCATGGGTTCCCACTGCTGTCTCAGCCAATGAGGTGGAAAAGTCCCCAGACAGCAGAGGCTGTTGAGAATGTCACTGGATCAGAGGGGGTTCAAGTAAGGATTGGGGGAGGGAACGCTGCACACAGACGGTTTTTTACCTTCATGCATAGAATACATGAAGGTAAAAAACCTTGAGCCTTTAGAACTCTTTTACAGTAAGTGATCATATTCACAAATGCAAATGCATAAAAAGGCTCATCTCAAACACAAGAAGAGACATCAACCAGAACCACTGCACATGCCCAAGATCAGCTCAGATGACATCCAACAAGCTTAATACAGAGGCATTTCAAGGGTATCCCCCTCTTCCCCAGAGCCGATACTAATGTGCTGTAATCTGTTAATCCTGTAATCTATTTTTCATGCAATTGTATCTTACAATGCTTTCCTGCCTCCTTGCAATATCCTTCATGATCTCCCAAACCCTTCCTTTTTCTCCTCACTTTCATATGTTTCAAACAGGCAGTGAACGTTTATTGCAGTCATATGCACAGCTCTATGCGTGCTACAAATCGCATAGTTTCTTGTCTATCTTGGGAGCGAGCAAGAGAGGAAGACTACGTTCCTACATACAGTGGGACCATGGAGAATGGACACAGCCAGCCTTTAACAGGAAGCTGGATCAAAGCAGAAGTAAAAAAAAAATTAGAAAAGGCTGTGACCAATAAAATGAACTTTTTTGTAAGAACATATACTTGAGCAGCATTTTTAAACCAGAATTTAGCATAACTTTAAACTCTAGTACATAAGCATAACAGCAGACTTACACTATAATCATGAGTTACCACATTGTACGTTGTTAATACAACATCCTGCTTGGAAAGAAAGTCTGGATTTTTGTTGCGTTCAGGTCCATAGTAGATGTAAATATTTAATTTAGCATCTGCTTTAACATGTTGCTCAAACTGATCCTGGAAAAAAATATTAAGTGTGTTAGTTATTAAAACTGATACAGTAAAAAGGAAATTATTAAAAAAGACATTCTAACCAATCATTCCAATAAAGTTCTGCCAGAATACACTGTTGTGTGCAATTTGTTGCTGAAGAAATGCCAATAGTGCTTTTGCGTGTTAGTGAATTTTCACTGAGTTCAGTTTAAGGGATAAGCCAAGTTTTAGCCAGTGAATTCAACAGGTTCCCCCTCCAACATGCAGTAAGCTCAAAGAACTCTGGAAAAATTGGATTTTTTCTATATACTTACCTGTAAAATCTATCTCTTGGAGTACATCACGGTACATAGAGCAGGATATTCATGACTATGTGGGTTATATGCCACCTATAGGTAAATGGACACTGGCCAAGTGGACAAGTGCCCCCTATATAACCTCTCCCACACAGTAAGTACTTCAGTTTTGTAGCAAGCAGAGGGGAGGGACCTCTGTGTCCCATGATGTACTCCAAGAAATGGATTTCAGAGGTAAGTATCTAGAAAAAAATCCAGTTTTCGTTATTGTACATCATGGGACACAGAGCAGGCTATATGTGCTTACGTGGGATGTCCTAAAGCAATAAAAAAATCTGAGGGGTGGGTGACACCATAATAGCCACCACCATCAATCCCAAAGGATCTACTCAGCCATTTGTAAAATGCTGTGGCCAAAGGCAGAATCCTACACCACTCTGACATCCACCTGGAAGAACCTTGTGAATGTATGAACCGAAGACCATGTAGAGGCTTTGTAAACCTGGGCCACTGACGCTTGACAGCGGATAGCCAAAGACGCCCCAACACTCCTGGTAGAGTGTGCTCTCACCCGAAAGGGAGCGTCCTTATCATTCAAAGCATAGGCTTGAATGATTAACTGGCGAATCCAATGAGAAATAGTCAACCTGGAAGATACCTGCCCTTCCTTGGCCCTTCTGGCAGCACAGACCAGGATTCCTGACCTGTGCCGCCAAACTGAAGTAAATCCTGAGCACCCTTACTACATTTAGAGCATGCAGTGATTTTTTCCCTGCCTACTGTGGACTAGGAAAAAAGAAAGGCAAGACACTGTCCTTGCATGAAAGAGCCACCAGTTCTGACACTTTTCCTGCCAAAGTGATAGTAATCAAAGAAGCCATCTACCAAGTCAAAGGATGAATGTTCTTTAATTGGTTCAAAAGGTGCTCTCTCCAAGGAGAGCTAAGATCAAGTTAAAGCACGAAGTACAAATCAAGGAGTGAGAAACTGGTCCCTATGGTGTTACCAGTGCATCTACCCCTATTGCTAGTGGGACTCTAGTCCTGGACATATGTCTAACTTGTTGTAGAACCTGGAAGTCAGCAGACCTACATCCAGAGTTCCCCAATGCTGGCAGATTGCTGAGAATGTCTTGGGATGCAGGGACCACTCACCCGTTATCGGCCGCTGACCTCAGGGGAAAGAAACCCATGACAGTTTTCTATACATGGAATGTGTACTACCAGTAGAGACGGCACATGCCGTTTTGCCCTAGACAGAATGTGGCTCAGCTTTTACTGAATCGCACGACTCCTGGTGCCGCCCTGGTGGTTGATATACACCACTGCCAGGGCATTGTCGGCTGCACCCTGGCCACAAACCTCTGCAATTGGTTTGTCAAATAATCCAGAGCAAGGCGTACTGCCCGAAGTTTCAAGATCTTGATGGGCAGTATTCCCTCCTGTGGAGAACAAGTCCCCTACACTGCAGCCACTTCCAAACCAGACCCCAACCAAAGAGACTGGCATTGGTGATTACTATTTTCTATATGACTGGAAAATCACCCCTTCTCCAGATTCCGAACAAACAATCACCAATTCAGACTCCAGATAGATAGGTTCGAATCCCAACCACGGCACCACCTGCCTGGAGTTTGCATGTTCTCCCTGTGCTTGCGTGGGTTTCCTCCGGGTACTCCGGTTTCCTCCCACACTCCAAAGACATGCTGGTAGGTTAATTAGCTCCTGTATAAATTGTCCCTAGTATGTGTACGTATGAATGCAAGTTAGGGACCTTAGATTGTACGCTCCTTGAGGGTTAGGGACTGATGTGAATGTACAATATATATGTACAGCGCTGCATAAATTGACAGCTCTATATAAGTACCTGAAATAAAATAATAATAAATAGAAAGTTCCTCTACAAAAGACCTGGAGTGGAAACGCACGCAGGAAACCACTTCAATGTAGATATCATTTCCTCATGCAGAGATATCATTTCCTCATGCAGAGACGTATTGAAGGATACCTTTTGTTTCTTATGTTTCGCTTTAAACATGGAACCAACTGCTTCCTGAACAAAGGAACATTAAGGTATTTTGAGATTGACACCCCCCTATGTCCTGAGCAAGACCAGCACCACGGCTAAGAGCTTAATGAACACTCGGGGGCTGTGGGCAGCCCAAAGAGCAGTGCCCCCCCCCCCCCCCCCAAAAAAAAAAAGAATGGCAATTCTTTATTGCAAATTGCAGAAACCCTTGATGAACCTGAAAAAATTAGTACACAAGGATATGCATCATTGAGGACTATGGACACCCAAAACGTATCTCTTGCCGAGAAGCCACGACTGATCGGACTGCTCCAATCCGAAGCAAAAGGACGTCCAGACTTATGTCTAGTTCCTTGAGATCTAAGATAGACCTCACATCCCCAGGTGGCTGTGGGCCTCCAAACCCGTCGAGTGTCTCCAATCACCTCAGAAACTGCCCTAGCATCCTCTTCCTGCGATACTTCTCAAACCACAACTGTCTCAGACTCTGGAGGGGAAAAGCATACAACACCTGGTATTCCTAGGCAGTCTCCCCTCCAAGTACTAACCAGGGTTAATCTTGCTTAGCTTCCGATTTCAGACGAGATTAGGCTTGTTCAGGGTGATGCCACCGCAGTCTATTGCAGCTCTGCCACCGGGAATAGCTGCAATACCAGATAAACACAGTAGCCCAGATACACCTGACACCACTGGTCAATCATGAAATGTGGACAGCACCAGGTTAACACACCCTCACCCCTCCCAAGTCCACTAGACCTGAGGGTGACACAGCTGCCTCCCCCTTCTGGGACCCATAGTCAACTATATTGTCACTTAGTTATGCAGTCCCGCAGGGATGCAGGTCTGTAGCCATGTCGGTCTCCAGTTCTGCAATTACACAGGCAAGCAAGTATGCGGCTATGCAGGTACACAGGTATGTGGTTATGTAGATACATAAGTATGCATTTATACAGTTTAGTTTATGCAAGTATACAGGTACTCAGCTATACAAGTATAACAATTATACAAGTACACAGTTGACACAAAGTATGTAAGCATGCAATTTATGCAAGTACAAGTATGCAGTTTATGCAGATATGCATTTAAGTATGCAATTTATGCATTTAAAAATGTATGTATGTATGTATGTATGTATGTATGCAGTTTGTGCATTTACGTATACATGTACCTATGCAGTTTATGCATGTACGAATGCAGTTTATGTAAATATACAGTTCATATAATTGTGCGGGTATGCATGCAATAATGTAATCCAATGCTGCAACTGCCCCGCTTTCTAGAGCTGTATTGTTTCATCAAAGAGCTGTGTCAAAATTAACTGCACTTGGTTCAGTACTAGGCAAGCACATATGTATCACACTCAGCCTGAATGCAGCCTCTATACCGCTTCACTGCTCCTGCAGATTAAATGCAAGCTTCCCCCCGAAATTATGCAGGCTAATGCAGTGTAGAATTGTGTCCTGTCTGGTAATGCAGCTCCCCCAAGGATAATACTCACACATCATCATCCAGCCATAGACTGGTCTGTGCCCCTGCTATCGATCAGTAGCCTCACTAAGCCGTCAGCCCACATGTGACTTCAAACATAAGCCAAAATGGACACCCCTCTACTTCCTGCCTCCACTGCACAAGAGTAGGCTATGGAGATCGGCCCCTCTAGTGGCTGGAGGAAAAATTGCAGCCTAATATTCCTTCAGAGATATACGCAGCATGGCTGGCCAGACCAAACAGCACACTGTCCTCAGTGGCCCCCGGGAGAATTACTGGACAGATCTTCAAAGAAACACTTCAAATGTAAACTTACCTTTCCCACCGCACAACTCTGACTCATAACAGGAGTCCAACCATCACCCATCAAGGCCGCCTCTGTCATAAAAGACCTTCAAGGACTCGATGCCCCCTATATCTGGGGTCCAACCTCTTGGACCTGTATACCACCCTGCTGGAAAGCACCTTGGTCAGAACAAACACTGCACAGGGTTCCATAACGCAGGGTCCAGCTCCATAAGACTGCATTACCGGCAAACCTCAAGGATTCTTCTCTTCTACCCAAAGAGGCTCGGGTACCATCCATTTGGCTAACAGCTTTTTAAATGGATACAACTGAGTCCTTGATTTACAGCAGAACCGTTCCAGACCTTTAAGTCCAAGAGCACATCCAGCACATAAGTGACCATCCACCTTACAGACACTGGCAAAAAAACTGAAGTAGTTTCTGTGTATGGGGGGGTTATATAGGGAAGGACTTCCTCTCCAATTGGTCGGCCAGTGTTCATGACTATGTGGGTTATATGCCACCTGTATGAATGAATAGCCTGCTCTGTGTCCCATGATGTACGATAAAGAGTCTCCTAAATGCATACCAATATTGTTAATAATATCTGAAGCAACTTAGCACATGTTGCAAAAGGATACCTTGCACAGCTTGCATGGGACAAGGCTAGGTAAAGACACAAATCATACTTACTTACAATCCAGTTACTCAACACTGACAGGGGACAAATGATTAGAGTTGTTCTTGGATGATTCTGTACTTCACATTTTGAAGGATTATCGGTTACGGTTTTAACTGTAACAATTTAAAAACAGAAAAATTATTTCATTCATCATTATAGCCACCCTCTGCACAAAATATTAATATCATTAAAAGCCTTCTTTCCACAACAATCCATTTTTTTGGTGCAACTCTGCTTTGCTTAAAGTCATAAAGCCATCCAATCCATAAAAAATAATGGTTACATGCTCATTAGACAAATTAGTGTTGTACGCAATGTGCAGTCCATAACAGTACATTCATCAGACCAATAAAATTCTAGTATAAGTATAGAGACACAAAGGAATATGTCACTTGCATCCAACACAACTTCATTTCTGTCAAAGATTATCAAGAATATTAACTCAGAACAGCATGAATAGTAAACACCAACCTGTGCCTTTTTTCTTAGTTTTTTGCTTCACAGTAGAAGGACCGCCAAAGAGAGCCATAGCAAACTGATCATCATCGACTATGTTACATGCTGAAGGAGCTACAATGGCAAAATTTACCATGTGAATTTGTAAAAAGCATATTCTGCATTCTCAAACTAATACCAGTACACTCTATGAAAGTGACCTAAACCACTAAATCACAGTTCATCAATATATACAAGATTCCATTAGTAGGAAAGTGCAGTACATTCCTGCAATACACGCACATATGCTTAAAAAAACGTATGACTGGTTAACTGGAAAAGTTCTGATTAGTTATCTGGGATGACTTCACTTTTATGGAAAAAAATGAATGCTAATCCATGCTTCGGGGTGGGAGAGAGAGGGATGGGGTAAATTTGGGTCATGTGTGGAGATAATTACAAATGAACACAAATGGACCATCACTATTGTTTTCACATATACAGAGATGATGCCACTATTCATTGTTGTGCATATTAGCTGTGTATTCATGAACGTACAACATATATATAAGGTTCTTAAAAAATTCCTACCGATAAAGAATCATGATTTGGTGTCAAGCCTATTAAAAAAGTATATAGCCTTTTTTGTAGGCATTATTTTGGAAATGCATCAAGGCTTTATCCTTGATGTTAGTTTACCTATGCACATCTTTTGTACACTAAGCTTACAACTGAACAAGAAAACGAAGCAGTATGCAGAGTCAGCTCCTGTGCAGCAAGCAAGTCCTTGTTTCTTTACACTGGAGTTTCACTGTATATGTCACACCAGGCAAGGTCTGAAAGACGTGGTTTCTCAGGATATGTAGAGCAAAGTCCTTGCAAAATAATCATACTTGGTGTTTAACATAAGTGATGAGCGCTAGAGTTGGAGCTGCTCGCACTAAAAGAGAAGTGACAAACCCAAAATGTAAGTGTATCAAAACAGTGCAGCACATAAACAATATGTCAAAAATAATACACAAATATGTGACAACCACAGTCAATAAATAAAATATTATAAATTAATACACAGAAAGTGCTTACTAAAGTACCAAGTGTGATGATATAACACAAGCCTTCTAATAGAAACACATCAGTGATATAATATAAACTGTGCTCTTTAAAGTGCCGAGTGCAATAAATAACAAAAGTCCTTCCAGGTGACAGTCTTATAAAATCTCTCCAGTGAAAACAATTCCCAACACTGTTGAATCCTATAAATGTGCTCTTTTCCTGTGCATGGTCCTCTACCTCTATGCACTCACCAGAAGGCTACTTGCTAAATAGCCTGTAATTTTGACCAGTAGGGAACCTCTGTCTCTCACTCCTCAAAGTCGCTATCAATAAAACCAGGAGCAGTAAAATGTTCTGTTTTGTGAGGTACGTCAATTTCTGGTACTCACTGATCAGCTCCCTGGACAGCTGGTTGGAAGAGCCCCCCCATACCGCACACACCAACTTCTCCCGACTCCACCAACTCTCTGCAACTGAATATTGGCAACTGACATCCCAGTATTAGTCCATCGGGTTCAATATTGAGTTGACCCACCCTTTGCAGCTATAACAGCTTCAACTCTTCTGGGAAATCTGTCCACAAGGTTTAGGAGTGTGTCTCTGGGAATGTTTGACCATTCTTCCAGAAGGGCATTTGTGAGGTCAGGCACTGATGTCGGACAGACGAGAAGGTCTGGCTCATAGTCTCTGCTGTAATTCATCCCAAGGTGTTCTGTCGGGTTGAGGTCAGGATTCTGTGCAGGCCAGTCAAGTTCCTCCATCCCCAACTCGCTCATCCATGTCTTTATAGACCTTGCTTTGTGCACTGGTGCATAGTCATGTTTGAACAGGAAGGGACCATCCCCAAACTCTTCCCACAAAGTTGGGAGCATGATATTGTCCAAAATGCCTTGTATGCTGATGCCTTAAGAGTTACCTTCACTTGAACTAAGGGGCCAAGCCCAACCCCTGAAAAACAACCCCACACCATAATCCCCCCTCCAACAAACTTTACACTTGCACAATGCAGTCAAACAAGTACCATTCTCCTGGCAACCACAAAACCCAGACACATCCATTAGATTGCCAGACAGAGAAGCGTGATCCGTCACTCCAGAGAACACGTCTCCACTGCTCTAGAGTCCAGTGGCGGTGTGCTTTACACCACTGCATCCGACACTTTACATTGCACTTGGTGATGTACGGCTTGGATGCAGCTGGTCAGCCAGGGAAACCGATTCCATTAAGCTCTCTATGCATCATTGTTGTGCTAATCTGAAGGCCACATGAAGTTTGGAGGTCTTTAGCTATTGACTCTGCAGACAGTTGGCAACTTCTGCACACTGTGCACTTCAGCATGCGCTGATCTCGCTCTGTCATTTTACGTGGCTACCACTTTGTGGCCGAGTTGCTGTTGTTCCCAGTTGCTTCCACTTTGTTATCATACCACTAACAGTTGACCGTGGAATATTTAGTAGCAAGGAAATTTCATGGATGGACTTACTGCACGGGTGGCAACCTAAAATGGTTCCACACTTGAATTCACTAAGCTCCTGAGAGCGACCCATTCTTTTACAAATGTTTGTAGAAGGAGTCTGCATGCCTAGGGGCTTGATTTTATACACCTGTGGCCATGGAGGTGATTGGAATTGAACAGTGTATCCAATGATTTGGAGGGGTGTCACAATACACTATATTATCAAAAGTATTGCAAGTGTGTGTGTATATATATATATATATATATATATATATATATATATATATATATATATATATATATATACATATACACATACACACACACACAGTGCTCAGCATAAATGAGTACACCCTTTTTGAAAAGTAACATTTTAATCAATATCTTAATGAACACAGGAACAATTTCCAAAATTGTGAAAGTAAGGTTAATAATATAACTTAAATTACAAAATCTTCAGTTTTACTCAAATCAGTTGATGCAAAAATGAATACACCCCAGAGCAAAAACTGCTACATCTAGTATTTTGTATGACCTCCATGATTTGACAGCATGGAATGAACAAGTCGGCCACATACTGCAACATCTATCTTTTTGTTCTTCAAGAACAACCTCTTTTTGGGGCCTGGATGTTGGATGGAGACTGATGCTCAACTTATCTCTTCAGAATTCTCCATAGGTGTTCGATTGGGTTCAGATCAGAAGACATACTTGACCACGGAATCACTTTCACTCTGTGCTTCTTCAGAAATGCATTAGTGGCCTTAGATGTGTGTTTTGGATCATTGTCATGTTGGAAAAGTGCACAACGACCAAGGGCACGGAGTGATGGTAGCATGTTCTCTTTCAATATAGAGCAATACATCTGTGAATTCATGATACCATCAATGAAATGCAGCTCCTTGACACCACCAGCACTAATGCAGCCCCACAGAAGGACACTGCCCCTACTATATTTCACTGTAGGCACCATGCATTTTTCTTTGTACTCCTCGCCTTTGTGACGTCATACAGTTTTGAAGCCATCAGTTCCAAAAACATTTATCTTTGTCTCATCACTCCAGACTACAGAATCCCAGTAGTCTTCTTTTTCAGCATGGGCCCTGGCAAATTCTAGGCGGGCTTTTTTGTGCATGGGCTTTAGGAGAGGCTTCCTACGTGGACGACACCCATGCATGCCATTCCTCTGCAGTGTATAGTGTACAGAGAACAATCACCCCAGTTTAGCCTTCTATTTCTTTAGACAACTAACGTGAACTTGCAAGGCGATTTTATTCAACCCTTCTCATCAGAAGACACTCCTGTCAAGATATTAACTTCCATGGACGGCCTGGACGTCTATGTAAGATGGTTGCAATTGCAGCTTTGTTACATTTTTGTATCACTTTTGCTACATTATTCTGACTGATAAGTAAAGCTTTGCTGATCTTCTTGTAGCCTTCACCTTTTTTATGTAAAGAAATTATTTTCTTTCACAGGCCTTGTGAAATTTCTCTTCCATATAGTGCCATTGCTGACAGCATGAAATGGGAAGGGGTTTTCTTTGATAAGTAATGCTTTTTTATAATTAACTGTCTACTGGACACTTGTTTAATGAATAATTAGACTTACCTGTAATTGAAATCTTGTTAATTCGGATTTTGTTGTCTAAAATTTAGCTTTGCTCCTAATACTTTCATTGGGGTGTATTCATTTTTGCAACATGGTCTTCAATGAATTTGTTAGGAAAAAACTTTTTATTTGTGCAAATTAACAAATCTTGTTTGCAATCAATGACCCACATTTGTGGAAGTATTTTGTAGCATAGTGTCTCATATAAAATGTTAATTCTGAAAGGAAAGGTTTTCTAACAAATCTGTTGGGGTGTACTCATTTATGCTGAGCACTATATACAATCCTTCTCTCGGTCAGCAAAAACCAAACTATGACTAATTTGCAAGGACTTTGCTCTACATATCCTGAGAAGCCACGTCTTTCAGACCTTGCCTGGTGTGACGTACAGCAAACCTCAGTGTAAAGAAACAAGGACTTGCTTGCTGTACAGGAGCGGACTCTGCATACTGCTTCATTTTCTTGCTCAGTCATTAGCTTAGTGTAGAAAAGATATGCATAGGTAAACTAACAACAAGAAAAGAGCCTTGATGTGTTTCAAAGACGATGCCTACAAAAAAGGCTATATACTTTTTTTTTAATAGGGTTGGCACCAAATCATGATTCTTTATTGGTAGTCATTTTTAAGAAACTTGTATATGGAGGTGATTGGAACACCTGAATCCAATGATTTGGAGGGGTGTCCCAATACTTTTAGCTAGGGATGCACCAAAATTTCGGTGGCCAAAACAAAAAAAAGCACCGATACAGGTGCCGAAAAAACCCCGCCCCTCGCCGGCCTGGGCATAGAGATGAGTGAAGGAAAGATAGCCGCAACACATCTCTATGCCCTTGGAGGACCGGAGCGATGTCAGTTCCCTTTCCGGCCATTTTTTTTTCCCCCCCCTTTTTAAAGCACTAGATCAATGCTTTTTTTTTATCCAATTCTTCACATTGCAGAGGAGAGATATGGAGTCTTATTGACCCCATATCTCTTCATAAAGAGGACCTGTCACTAATTATTTCTATCACAAGGGATGCATGCATTTCTTGTGCTAAGAATAAACGTATTTACATTTTTTTAAAGGAACAGTGCAAAAAAAAAAAAAAAAACATTAAATACATTTTTTTAGAAAAGTTTAAAGTGCCTCCGCCCCCCCGTGCTCGCATAAGGTGAATGCATATGTAAATGGTGTTCAAACCACACATGTGAGGTATCGCCACGAACGTCGGAGCAAGAGCAATAATTATCGCACTAGAACTCCTCTAACTTTACACTGCTGACCTGCAGAAATTTTTCAAGCATCACCCATGGAGATTTTTAAGTACCGCAGTTTCACGGCATTCCACGAGCGTGCACAATTTTAAAGCGTGACATGTTGGGTATCTATTTACTCGCCGAAACATCCTCTTTCATATTTTACATAATAATTGGGGATATATTGTTTTTTTTAATCAAAGTGTATTTTTTTACAAAAAATATATACTCATTTTTAAAAACTACGCATTTCAGTTTTCGGCCAAGTGCATTTTGAATTTTCGGTTTCAGTACCAGAATTTTCATTTCGGTGCACCACTACTTTTAGCAATACATTATATATACACACACACACATGCTTTTTTTTCATATAAAGAACAATGAATATAGAAAAAAAATTATAATATGGTACATTTAACAATTAAAATATGGTACAGTTATCAGTATAACATATTTATGGGTTTTGTTGATATTTTATTCCCCAATGAAAGAACCAAAACATCCATGAAATAGAAAAAAAAAAGTCCCTAGCTGTGTTAAAAGATGAGCAGATACAGTACATACCATGAGAACAAGAAAACTAGCACACAAAATCACTAATCTCCACTAAAATCTGGATTCCCCATTGCCTTGTCAGACAATAAACTTTTGTCAGCATAGTTTTTTGTTCCCTTCTTACCTTTTACTTTTCGTGGGATCCATTGATCCTCCTCCTCAGAGTCACTGAGTGAATACTTGGCTTTTTGCCTTGTGAAATATAAAAACAGTTAAAAATAACAAGACATGACTGCTGTGACATGCTCAATTCTTTGGAAGTGCACATTAAGGTTTTTAGAAGCAAACTCACTAACAAAGGATTAACAAATATTTCAACATTTAGACGTTAACTAATATTATAGACAAAAAAATTGGTGAAGCTTTTCAGGGTCATTTGTATGATGTAACATCATACTTATAGATGCCTGTGTACAGTATGAGCACTTACTAGATGGAACCTCATTTTACACCTAATCTGTCAATAATTGGATCATTTGCAATGCGGACAGATATGCATTCAAAACCCTGCAGAATGAGCAACTCACTGGAAGAATTATGCAAACGTAAAGGATAAAAATGCCACTCTTGAAGAAGCACTGTAGCTGTTGAGGATTGGAAGGCAGGAAGCTGCTGTATAAAATATGATACATCTTTAACAAACTAAAATTTTATTTTGAATAAACTAAACAATATATAATACAGTATATTCTACTTGTAATTTTCTTCCAAGAATCTGTGAAGACTTGAATGTCAGTATTAGAGCTAGAATCTATGCATATGTTAGACATAAAACTATAATACCTCCTGCTCTCTAGCTCCCTTGTCTCCTCCTCCCATGCTCGTCTCCAGGGCTTTTCCAGAGCTTCCCCCATCCTCTGGAACTCTCTACCCCAATTTATCAGACTATCGCCTACTCTGCTCACTTTTAGGCGATCTCTGAAAACCTATCTCTTCAGGGAAGCCTATCCTGCCCTCAGCTAATAATGGAATCTTCTACTCTTCCTACCAGTCCATCCCCCACAGTTACTACCTTTTGTACCACTAGCCCCTCCCTCCTAGATTGTAAGCTCCAAGGAGCAGGGCCCTCCTTTCCCTCTTGTAGTTAACTGTATCGTTGCTGTATTGTCTCCCGTTCTATTGTAAAGCGCTGAGCAAACTGTTGGCGCTATATAAATCCTGTATAATAATAATAATATACAAGCATACAGCTCGATTGATGACACCATGTTGCCTTTCATCAAATTACAATATTGAAAATACATAATAAATACACAATAGTATTACATACCTTTTAGGCGCAGTTTCAGTTTTTCCTTTGCTGCTCCCTGATTTTTCATTTGTTCCTTTAGCAAAACAGGAGAAACATGTTAATATTAAAAATGCTTCCAAAAATAAGATTTTTCCTCATGCACATGGGCATAGCCTTGGAGCATGAGGCTGGGGTGTTTAGCTGCCGCTGGAGGGCACAAGCACACCATCTCTGTCCCCACTGTTGGCAGCCTGTCAAACCCTACAAGAGTCTGACAACCATGGGGTTGGGAGGTATACCTAGCAGTAATCTTATTTAGGACAAATACCTGGCATGCAAACAGTCTGTTCTGGGCAATCGTCCCTGGGCACATGTTGCCCCAAATGGAAGTACTGTTGAGTGCACTGCCCAGTGTCAGACTCTTAGAGTTTGGCAGGCTGCCAGCGACAGGGCTTAACAGTGCGCCTTTGCCCTCCAGCCGTAACTAAATGCCAGGGCCTCATACACTGGACTAAACGCCCAGTGTGCATGAAGCCCTAGCTGTAAAATAGATTACAGCACCAGAATTTTAGGCCACAGTCTGTTCAACTGCCTTCAAATGATTGGACACTAGCAAACAAAGCTGTAAGAATATCCCTAATATAACCCCTCCCATTCCCAGCAAGCCTCAATGGTGTAGCAGGCAAGGACTGAATCATAAGAGCACAGGGGAAAGACCTCTGTCTTGTAATGTACTTCAAGAAAAGGATTTTACAGGTATGTAAAAAACCCTATTTTCTTAATCGCACAGGATCAGTCTTAAACCATGAAACATCCAAAATGAAGTCCAACTGAGGAAGGGGAGAGATGGGGGTTCAGGGTGAGCTACACAGAAAACAAATCCCAACAAGACTGAACATCCATCTAGCAAAATGTAGTTTGAGAAAATGATGCCTGGAGCTGAAAAGTGCATTAACCACTAGCCTACAGGGCACTTATACCCCCTTCCTGCCCAGGCCAATTTCCAGCTTTCAGCGCTGTCACACTTTGAATGACAATTGAGTGGTCATGCAACACTGTACCCATATGAAATTTTTATCATTTTTTTTTTTTAGACAGATAGAGCTTTCTTTTGGTGGTATTTAATCACCTCTGGGATTTTTATTGTTTCTTAAACAAACCAAAAACCACTGAAAATTTTGAAAAAAAAACAAAATTTTTTCTTAGTTTTTGTTATACAATTTTGTAAATAAGTGATTTTTCTCCTTCACTGATGTGCGCTAATGAGGCTGCAGTGATGGGCACTGATGGACACTGATAGGTGGCACTGATGAGGAGGCACTGGTAGGTTGCACTGATGGGCATTGACAGGCATTACTGATGGGCACTGAAAGGCAGCACTGATATATGGCACTGATAGGCGGCACTGACTGGCACTGTTAGGCAGCACTGACTGGCACTGAGAGGCGACACTGACTGGCACTGAGAGGTGGCACTGATTGGCATTGATAGGTGGCATTGACTGGCACTGATGGGTGACATTGAAAGGCAGCTCAGATGAGCACTGATGTGCACTAGTATGCACTGATATATGGCATTGATGTGGTACTGATGGGCACTGGCACGTGGCACTGATGAGCACTGACTGCTGGCACTGATGGACACTGACAGGTGGCACTTTTGGGGCCACACTGATCACCAGTGCCCTGATGATCAGTGTACATGTCCCCTCTGCGGAAAGCCGATAACCGGAATTTCCGTGTTTACATGTGATCAGCTGTGATTGGACATAGCTGATCACATGACCGTGCCGACATCTTCGGCTCTTTCCGTGATCCGCTGTGTCCAGGGGACACAGCGCACCGGCAATTGCCGCACTGCACGCACCCTGAGCCGCGCATGCGCGGTAAGAATGAAAGGACGTCATATGACGTCCTATCAGAACGAGAGAACCGCCTTGCGCCTGTCATTGTACTATATGGCGGGCAGAAGGTGGTTAAAGTGGTTCTAATGCAATCTCTGCATTAAGGTAAAAAAACCTTTTGCACAGATTATTCCCCCAGCGCCTCTTATACTTACCTGAGCCTGATCTAAATCCAACGCTGTGCCCGAAAGCAGCGACTCTCCTGCTCTTTCCCTCCTCACAGGGCAGATTGACAGCAGCTCCCATCGGCTACCATTGGCTCCCTCTGCTGTCAATCAAACTCTGTGATGTGGAAGCAGGGGCAGGACTGAGTCACCCTGTCTAAATTCATAGACGCAGAAAGGAGGCTCAGGATTGAGCCCGCACGAGTGCCCCCATAGGAAGCAGCTTCCTATGGGGGCATGCATAGAAGAGGAGGAGCTAGGAGTGCTGGCAGGGGTCAAGGAGGAGAATCAGGGCTACTCTGTGTAAAACCATTGCACAGAGCAGGTAAGTATGACATGTTTATTATTTAAAAAAAAAAAAAAAAAAAAAAAAACACAAAAGCTTTAGAAACACTTTAAGCACAAGCTAAACGGTTAGCACTTTCGCCTGGCAGTACTAGGGTCACTGGTTCAAATCTCAACCATGGCACCACCTGCCTGGAGTTTGCATGTTCTCCCTGTGCCTGCGTGGGTTTTCTCTGGGTACTCCGCTTTCCTCCCACACTCCAAAGACATGATGGTAGGTTAATTGGATCCTGTCTAAATTGGCCCTAGTATGTGTATGCATGAATGTAGGTTAGGGACATTAGATTGTACACCCCTTGAGGGTTAGGGACTGATATGAATGACCAATATATATGTAAAGCGCTGCGCAAATTGTCAGTGCTATATAAGTACCTGAAATAAATAAATAAAATAAATAAGCACAAACAGATACGATTGAGATGAGCTGTCTAATCTACCTAGCAATAGTAAAAACGAGGGGCAGAATGTCCCCTACAGAGACCTTTGGGAATGATAGAGTGAAACTGAATTTGAAAGAAGCTGAGAGGCAGGCTCGTACAGCACATCCCAATCCAGAGAGTGGGAAGAAATCTTCCTAGAAAGTTTTGAAGACAGACAGAAAGAGAGAAGAATAATGTCCTGGTTAAGATGGAAACAGGAAACCACCTTAGGAAGAAAGGACACTCTGAGCCTGTGTCCTGTAATGTACGAATAAGAACATTTTCTTTAAGAAGCTTTGTCACAAACAACAAATGTTTTATTAGAAATTCTATCTGAACATAACAAATTGTGTCTTGTTAAGAGTAAAATTAACCACTTGCCCTCCTGAGGATTTACCCCCTTTCATGACTAAGCCATTTTTTGCGTTACGGCACTGCGTTATTTTAACTGAAAATTGTGCGGTCATGCAACACTGCACCCTAATGAAATTTACATCCTTTTTTACCCAGGAATTGAGCTTTCTTTCGGTGGTATTTTATCGCCTGTGCTTTTTTGTTTTTTTTTTACGCTATAAGAAAAAAAAAAGACCAACAATTTTGAGAAAAAAAAATTATATTTTAGACTTTTTGCTATTAAACTTGTCCAGTAAAAAAAATTTTAAATATCAAATGTAATCATAAATGTAGACCAAAATGTAATCCGTGACATGTCTTTGCTAAAAAAAAAAAATCCCAATACATGTAAATTAATTGGTTTACATGAAAGTTATAGTGTTTACAAATGGCGGTATAGATAATGGGATTTTTTTTTTTCTACTAGTAATCGGCAATTTTTAGCGGGACTGAGGCAAACATTCTGACACTGGGGGAGAAACTACCAATACAGTGGTCAGTGCTAAAAAAAAAAATAATAAGCACTGACATTGTACTAATGGCACTTGGTTTTACTGGGGGGGGGGGGGGGGGGATCACTATAATAACCAATCACAGGCTATGACAGCAATTATGTGATCGGGAACTATTCTTCAGAGATCCTGAAGAACACGTCCAGTACAAATGCCACAGGCATATATTTACAGTGCCTTGTCAACAGGTTAAAAGCAGCAGTAGCTGTAAAGTAACCATACTATTGCTTTAGGTAATAGATTAAAAAAAAAACTTCACACTTATAAGGCACAGTGGTATGCTTTATAAAATGTGCATTGTATTCCAGAGTCTGAAGCTGACAAAGAACTATAATGAATGGTGTAAAAAATATAATTACGTTCTTTATTAAGATAGCCGGGGTCATCCCCTATATATCTTATACGTCCTTTAATCTTAGTTAACCTGTTAGTATTATATTTCTTGAATGCCAGACTTACAGTGGATATGAAAAGTCTACACACCCCTGTTAAAAGGTTTCTGTGATGTTAAAAAAAATTGAGACAAATATAAATAATTTTAGAACTTTTTCCACATTTAATGTGACATATAAACTGTACAACTCAAATCTTTTAGGGATGGGGGGAAGTAAACATAAAAAACGAAAATAATGTGGTTGCATAAGTGTGCACACCCCTCTTATAGCTAGGGATGTAGCGGTATTCAGAATTAAGCAATCACATTCAAAATCATGGTAAATAGGAGTCAGTACACACCTGCCATCATTTAAAGTGCCTCTGATTAACCTCAAATAAAGTTCAGCTGACTAGTAGGTCTTTCCTGACATTTCTTAGTCGCATCCTACAGCAAAAGCCATGGTTCACAGAGAGCTTCCAAAGCATCAGAGGGATCTCATTGTTAAAAAACTATCAGTCAGGAGAAGAGTACAAAAGAATTTCCAAGGCATTAGATGTACCATGGAACACAGTGAAGGCAGTCATCATCAAGTGGAGAAATAATGGCGCAACAGTGGCATTACCAAGAACTGGGCGTCCCTCCAAAATTGATGAAAAGACGAGAAGAAAACTGGTCTGGGAGGCTGTCAAGAAGCCTACAGCAACATTAAAGGAGCTGCAGGAATATCTGACAAGTAGTGGCTGTGTGGTACATGTGACAGCAATCTCCTGTATTCTTCATATGTCTGGGCTATGGGGTAGAGTGGCAAGATGGAAGCCGTTTCTTATGAAGAAAAACATCCAAGCCCGGCTAAATTTTGCAAAAACACATCTGAAGTCTCCCAAAGGCATGTAAGAAAATGTGTCTGATGAAACCAAGGTTGAACTCTTTGGCCATAATTCCAAAAGATATGTTTGGTGGAAAAACAACACTGCACATCACCAAAAATACACAATACCCACTTTGAAGCATGGTGGTGGCAGCAGCATACTTTGCGGATGTTTTTCTTCAGCTGGAACTGGGGCCTTAGTCAAGGTAGAGGGAATTCTGAACAGATCCAAATATCAGTCAATATTGGGACAAAAACCATCAGGCTTCTGCTAGAAAGCTGAACGTAAATAGGGACTTCATCTTTCAGCAAGACAACGACTAAAAGCATTCATCAAAATCAACAAAGTAATGGCTTCACCAGAAGAAGATTAAAGTTTTGGAATGGCCCAGCCAGAGCCCAGACCTGAATCCGATGGAAAATCTGTGGAGTGATCTGCAGAGGGCTGTGCGCAGGAGATGCCCTCGCAATCTGACAGATTTGGAGTGTTTTTGCAAGGAAGAGTGGGCAAATATTGCCAAGTCAAGATGTACCATGCTGATAGACTCATACCCCAAGAGACTGAGTGCTGGAATAAAATCAAAAGGTGCTTCAACAAAGTATTAGTTTAAGGGTGTGCACACTTATGCAACCACATTATTTTATTTTTTGATTTTTCTTCCCTCCACCTAAAAGATTTCAGTTTGTTGTTCAACTGAGTTGTTCAGTTTATAGGTTACATTAAAGGTGGAAAAAGTTCTGAAATTATTTAACTTTGTCTCATTTTTGTACTTCACAGGAACCTGACATTTTAACAGGGTTGTGTAGACTTGTTATATCCACTGTATATATTGTGTGTTTTTTGGAGGCTCCCAGCCCCCACCATCATTATCAACAACCAATTGTTGGACCGTTTCTCTCCATTTTCTTGCGAGTTTAATACGACTCATTGTCATACTTTTTTAACATGTTCCCTGTGTATCGCCTATATCCACATGCGTCTTTGGCACTATTGTTGTTATGAATCACTGTAATTGCTTCAATAAAAATACTGAACAAGAAAAAATATAAGTAAGCGAGGGGAGACCTGTCAAAAGTCAAATGACCAGCTCTGTAAAAAGGTGAATTTCTGCAAGATATCACAGGCTGTGTACTAGAAATCTTGAATGGCCAGGCCATGGTATTCAATACCACTGTAAATTATTGAGAGTATAGCAATATCTGCTTGTTTATAAAATAATCACTTAGAACTGTAAGTATGTCTAGCCTGCCTATATGGATGTAGTGAGGGTTATACGAATTTGTTTTCCTGCTGAATTTACCATCTGCTTTCCTCCGTGCCTGTTTCTTGTTAGATGATTTTCTTGAGTCATCTCGTGCAACAGAATGTTCTTCTAAAGAATAATTCTATGCAAAAAAAAGAAGAGGCTTATTATCCTGCCCTGGAAATAAAGTGAATACAGTGAGCTACACAAAAGTGGGTTGCGCATATAAACTTACACCATAAATGCCATGTCCAACTGGAAAAGGTTTTCCATCATGAAAGTTAGTGAGGATTAAAGCAATGATTGATAAAGTCTTTCCCTAAAACCATACAAAAAAGTTAACTTAAAACAAGTTTACATACCAAAAGCATTAAACATTAAAAAAATTAACATTTGAATATAAATTTTTGGATAAGCAAATGCAGATAATTGTCGTCACTGCCTCTGTCACAATAATTATGAACTATACAGTAGCCATTTTATGGGAGGATGTTTCCTATGGGTGAGAACATACCAATTTAAGGATCAGACCATTTGGGGCTACCAAAATGGGGAAATAAAAACAGTTCTGTCAATTGAAAGTGCTCATGCTCTAGCAAAATGAGATTCTCCAACTCATCAGCCAAGCTGGTCTAGTAGGTTTCAGTGCGTCCTTATATTTCTGAAAAAACACAGCTGGCTCCCTTCCCATTTTGTACAGTTGTCAAATCTATTGTTGCAACATCTTTATTTGATCAAATTCAACGGTAATATTCAATGCATTTAGCTTGTAACTTAATATGTACAAAGTGGCGTTGACAGGTGTTGTGTGTTGATCTAAAAAAACAAGGCAAGCAGCTCCACAATATTAGCAGATGGGCAATCAAACAAAATGTAAAATTGCTGCCACATCTGAAGTCAATATATGTTCTACTTCATCATGAGGAGAATGGAAAACAAAATCGACTTTGTAAACTGTTTTAGCAACAAATAATATAGAATACGTTAATGAAGTATCTGCTGTGTACAACAGCAACTGCACTCCTAACAGCTATCTGTATATATATATATATATATATATATATATATATATAATGTGGGAACTCGCTTCAAATGGTAGAGCTGTTCTTGTTAAAGCACACAGCAACTCGCTTCTTTAAGGGATTTTTTGCCCACTTTTATTTAAAAGAAAAAAGTTCAACAAAAATGCTTCCCACGCAGGGCTATCCACCATCAAGCAATACCAACAAAGATTCAGCCTCCTGGCTTGTACACGGTTCAATGTCTGTCTCCTGCAGACTCTTCCCAAATTATGGCCACTAGCACACAGCTAGTCTGGCTTCCACCTCTCCTAGGTGGAGCCCACCTGACTCCAAGTGGAGCCCTCCTGACTCCTATCTGCCGGGTGGAGCCCTCCTGTCTGCCGGGGTGGAGCCCAGAACTATGGTTAGGACTCTATAAAAAGGCCTGCACACACCTGTGCAATCAGTGTGCTGGGGGTTCTCAAAACACGGACCCCGGATTGGAGATTTCATCCCTCCCAGATCTCTTTGAAATCTCCAGGCTCCAGATCCCAAAACAGACTTAATGAATATATGAGGAAACTGAAAAGCCAGTTTCCTCTGCAATACATCAACTCTCTGGAGCCGCTCAACTTGCCTGGTTGAGAATCCAGGGTTTTCAGCTTTATTTTGACCGTGGCAGGACACCGCACTGCCACAATATTATATATATATATATATATATATATATATATATATATATATATATATATATATATATGTGTGACAGTATGAACGGCGAGGTGATTGATGGACGCTATGTGTCACCTCGCATGCGATCATACTTGGGAGTTTAAGGTGAAATCCACTCAGGGCTTTCTGGGCCACAATGGCAGAGGTGGTTCCAGACCTGATTTTGTGGTCCACTGATGACCACCAGCAGGTGGTATAAATAAGGCAGGGCTGGAGCAAGGAGCCCATCATGGCCTGGGACTGAGAGAGCCATTCCTGAGAGAGCTGTGCATGAAAGTGATTGTTATAACCTCCTAGATTGTAAGCTCAAAAGAGCAGGGCCCTCGAACCCCTCGTGTATTGTATTGTTACTGTCTTGTCTCATGTTTTGTCCCCCTTGCTACTGTACAGCGCTGAGCATACCCTTTGACGCTATATAAATACTGTATAATTGATTATACAAACAAGAGAAAAGGTTTGCTTATTGTTTCGTTCTTGCTGGTGACAGGGAGAAGCCCTTCATTTTATTTTAATTTTCTGTTTTGATATTTTGCATAACCTTTGAATAAAACTGAGCATCTTTTACTTCAGTTCTACCACTGCTATGTACAAACGTAACATTCCCATTATATATTTCATTAACCTGTGCAGAGGCAAAGAGACAAGGTAAGTAATAAACACCTTTTAGAATGCTAATGGTGGACCTGTGGTAAGAAAAATGGAGGCTACAATGGCTACTCTCTACATCTGAAAAGGATATGTATGTTAAGCTAATGGCTTCAAGTCACTGAGCCAGAGCAAGTATACAGAACAGGAGTTGTAGCTTAGCTCTTACTTCACTTCCTATGTGCTTTTTACACTTTTGTGACTCAAATGGAAGTCAGAGGATATACACGACCCAGCCAAGCAACTAGAATTTTCAGTAGAGGTAGTAGTAGTGCCCAATATATTTCCTATCAACACAGGTTTCCTTAAATGTCTTGCTTTTCTATAATTTGTTAGAAATAACAAAACAGCTCTAAACAAAGATAATACAAGATAATTGTTACACTGAATGGGAAACTAAAACAAGAATATATGTAGAATTTCACTTTCAGTCTGCCATAAATAAAAGTTGCAAGACAACCCTGACAATTGATTCCCTGTAATTGAAACATAGGGAACATACCAATCCCATGTCATCTGCCAGAATTCCTCCTCTTACGCTCTCTGGCTTGTCTTTTTCTGCAAAATTTGTAAGAGTGCAGTAGTAGAAGTTGTTCCTCTGTTCCCAAAATGGTGGCAGCTCTTTACTGTTCTCACGTGACACCATCCACGCCAGTGCCTGCTTCTGATGAGGGAGCAATGAGGTTTCCACAGCCTGTGAAGATCATTACAGAAGGAAGAAAAACATTTATCTCTACATATGCAAGACATTCACACGTTTGTAAAGTAAGCTTTCTACAATCACCACTAAATAAAAATTTAATCATGGTAGGGTAACTGCCATTAAAATGAACATCCTTCCTAAACTTCTCTATTTATTTAGATTAACCAATCAAAATCTTACTTAGCTCAGATTCAATGTTTACTCAAAGTATGGCAAAATAAATTGCAAAGATTTGCTAGATCAATTTTACATTGCACCCATCTACAAGGGGTCTAGGCCAACCTCAGGTGTGGCTCTATTATTTAGCCTCTAGGTTTTTGCAAACAGCGCAATTGAGTCTAGTGGACACGAAGGTTTCCTGGCTTAAATTTGAGAGTGTTTTTAGTTCTCCATTTTTTCTTCCTGGTTAACTTTTATCCCCTTTACAGATATACTGTAGCTATTTGCAATCATTTAGTTGCCCAGTTACTTAAACTTTGGAATCCCCACAAGGGCAGATTATCTATGGGTTCAGAAATGTATCCTTTGACCTTTTTTGGACCTATGTTTGTAACAGCATTCTTTCATCCTAGAGACTTTCTTTAGTGGAAATCTCATCATATGATCATTCTCTCAAGCTTTCAGGAAGACTCTGCCTTTGCGACTTTTCCTCAGCTTCAAACTTAAAATTAGTCCCAGGTTCTGAACATCCTTGCTATTGCAAATTAAAATGAGACCCTTTTAGCTACACACTCGATTCTCCCCCCTCTGGTTTGAACCTACACTGGTTTGTAAGAAAGCGTTACTGGGAACACTTACAAGTTTTCCTGGGTACACTCCCCTGCCAAAAAGACCAGCAATCCTTGTTTCACTACACAGTTCTCCATGGAGAGGACTGTGCTCTGGCACAGTTTAAGCTCACATCACACTAAACCTTACTGGATAACAAGTGAACCACGCTTGAGACCACCTGCTCCAAGTGATCCCGGGCACAATACCCTTAACTAGTCCTGGGCACAGTTCAGAGCACTCATATTACACAAATGAACGAACAGATCCAAGGGGCTGAAGTGCGCATGGGACCGGTTAAAAGTGTTTGCATAAATGCTTTCTAACTTACCTTTGAAGGTTCCAGTTCTCTGGTTTTATCATCTTCCTTCAGATCTTCAAACAATTTATCAAATTCAGTCTTCAGCTGTTAAAACAAACACACACACTAACTTGGTATACTGTTTGCTTGCACAAATATAGGAAAAATTGTTGTTTAAACGATTAATTTGATAAAACTACCATCAAGTAGAACTAAAATTATGACTTTGTTTGGGGAAAAAAAAAATAATAGAAATTACTGGGATGAGCAGAACAGCATACACCCAAGGAGCCAAAACTCTCCCACTCCATTTGGATCTCATTAATAACTATCAATTATCTCCCAAATGCTATCCTGATCTTACTTTCTATGATGGCAGGCAAAAAGACATCCTTTGGGAAGCTGCATCATGTTGCAGGATACTACAATACTCTACATAAAACAGCATGAGGGATGGGAGGGTCTACATATGGGAACTCTGTGATTAATTACTAGCGCTATGCCCAGCTACTGTACGGCATTAGTGGTAATCATCTAACACTATATCATTAAAAAAAATGACTAGGGAAATTATATGGCTTATTAAAATAACAGACCACAGGCACTTCATGATTTGCCAAATTTGAGACATTGTAACATATACTGTATATGGTTGTTGTTGGAATTAGAAAAGCATACATCCAAATAAAGCCACAAATTTGTGGGATCCTAATCTTTTGTATTTGGCTCCTAGATTATGGTAAGATTAGGCCTTGCCTATTTGCTCTGTGCTACAAATGTGTGCTGACAAAATACAGTGGCAGTCATGAATGTCAGTTATTTTTATAATAAAAATATTTCTATGGAGTTTCAGTTGTTAAGTTGCTGCTTGAAACCACAAAAGTGCTGTTTCCTTCTCTTTCCTGCAGGTGCCCCCTCAGCAAGCCATGTGCTAATGTGACGCCTGAGCAGGAAAGCTCCCGAATTGGGCACAGTCACACCCTCTGCTACCTCTTCAAAGAATTTGATTGACAGCAGCAGGAAGACTATTGCAGGCCATACATGGGTCGAATTCCAAACTAAATTTCTTTAGAAAATCAGCACTTTTGTGCATTTTGTAATCCGATGGTGCCACCATTGATTTTGAAATTTGACCAACCAAGCCTTCAATTTCACCTCATGTTGCTACAGAAAAGAATTTTTGTGGCCAAGAATTTTCTTTTTCATTTCCAGGTCAGAGCTCATGCTCATTTCTTTTTTGATCAAATCTCATCATAGAGAAGTTCGTTTTTCAAAAAATTTCCAACATGCCCGATCACTCATATTCGACAGTCGCATGAAAATCTGCACTTTCTGTGGCCCACTAATCGTGTAAAATTCTAATGAAAATTCTTAGAAAAATTTAGAAAGAAAATTCTTTCGGAATTCGACTCATGTATGGCCGACTTATGGCTCCTATTGCTGTCAGTCTCCTGTCAAGAGGAGGGAGTGGCTGTGGTGCAGATGGCACAACACTGGACCGTGAAAGGAATCAGGTTAAGTGTTTGGGGGGGGTTCTCAGGTAAGCACACCATCCTGGCTGAATGCCTGAGCTAAGGGCAGATGGATTCCAGGAAGTGAATGCTACATGAATCATTTGCCCTTATGCATGATACTCAAGTGGGACTTTTTTTTTACCATAATGCAGGGTATGCATTAATGCAAAAAACATTTTAACAATGAATAGGTGCATTTTTCCACCAGAACCAACTGCTCTGTAGTCATCTGCACAGCTGGAAGTAATGGAATGCTGAGGCGTGGTTGAGCTTGTGAACCTAAATCCACAGACAAATATGTAAAACAAAACCATTATTGTTAAACGCAAATTGTTTTGTAGTTTTTGTTTAGTATGTTCTAGTCTTAAGTTATAGGGTTTCAGGCAGGTTTGTTGGATATACTGTAGATTTTACAACCAAATGGTTTGAGGAGATAAACACAAAATGTTTTAATTACTTAGGAGTGTAATAATCTTATCTATTCTCATCTGTCCACTACTGTCTGCTCTCCTAACAGCTATGAGTATACATACACAAATGATGGCAGAAGCCAGGAAGAGAGCCTGGTTACATGACCTGTCAAATCTGAAATGTACCTATGTCAGTTATAAATGTTTCCTGTGGTAGCATACAATTAACAATTACTGTACTTTATTTGTAAGACACAATACTTCAGTGTGTTGCAGATGAAATATTTGTGAACAAGAGGGGATACATTCTATATAAGAAATGCTTGGGTAAAGTTAAAAAAAAAAAAATAGAAGTCATTTAAACAGTTAGGTAGGTATATTTGGACACAGGCACAATTTTAATTTTTTCAGGTATTTACCAAAACATATTCAAGTTATAGTTATATAATGAATATGGGCTGAAAGTGCACACTCTCATGTTTAATTTCAGAGTATGTACATCCAAATTGGAGGAAGGGTTTAGGAATTATAGCTCTTAAGAGTAGCTACCCCCCTTTTTCAAGGGACCAAAAGTAATTGGACAATTAAATCAAAAGCTGTTTCATGGCCAGGTGTGGGCTACTCCTTCGTTATTTCTTCATCAATTAAGCAGGCAAAAGGTCTGGAGTTGATTCTAAGTGTGGTATTTGCATTTGGAACCTATTGTTGTGAACCTACATCATGCATTCAAAGGAGCTGTCCATGCAAGTGAAACAGGCCATTGTAAGACTTCAAAAACAAAACAAATCCATCAGAGAGATAGTAGTAACATTAGGATTAGCCAAATCAACAGTTTGGTACATTCAGAGGAAAGAAGAACACAATGGTGAGCTCAGCAACATAAAAAGGCATGGACGTCCACGGAAAGCAACAGTGGTAGATGATCGCAGGATCCTCTCTATGGTAAAGAAAAAACAATTCACAAAAACATCCAGACAAGTGAAGGACACTCTCCAGGAGGTGGGCGTATCATTGCAAAAGTCTACAATCAAGAGAAGACTTCATGAGAGCAAATACAGAGGGTTCACCACAAGGTGCAAACCATTTATAAGCCTGAAGAACAGAAAAGCCAGATTAAACTTTGCCAAAAAACATCTAAAAAAGTCAGACCAGTTTTGGAAAAGCATTCTTTGGACGAATGAAACCAAGATTAATCTGTACCAGAATGACGGGAAGAAAAAAGTGTGGAGAGGCTTGGAACAACTCATGATCCAAAGCACACAACGTCATCTGTAAAACATGGTGGAGGCAGTGTGATGGAATGGGCATGCATGGCTTCCAGTGGCACTGGGTCATTGGTGTTGGATGATGTGACAGAAGCAGCCGAATGAATTCTGCAGTGTTTAGAAATATACTGTCAGCCCAGATTCAGCAAGGTTGATTAGACGGTCCTTCACAGTACAAATGGACAATGATCCAAAACACACTGCAAACCAACCCAGGAGCTTTTGAAGGAAAATAAATGGAATATTCTGCAATGGCCGAGTCATTCACCAGATCTCAACCCAATTGAGCATGCATTTCACTTGCTGAAGGCAAAACTAAAGGCAAAAAGACCCACAAACAAAAACTTAAGACAGCTGCAGTTAGAGTCTGGCAAAGAATCAGAAAGGAGGAAACCCAGTCTTTGGTAATGTCCATGAGTTCTAGACTTCAGGGAGTCATTGCCAGTAAAGGATTCTCAACAAAATATTAAAAATGAACATTTTATTTATGATTATATTCATTTGTCCAATCACATTTTGTGCCCCTGAAAATGGAGGGGCTGTGTATAAAAATGGTTGGAGTTCCTAAAATTTGTACTTGATATTTTTGTTCAACTGCTTGAATTAAAGCTGAAAGTCTGCACTTCAAATTCATTTGCATTGTTTTGTTTTAATTTATTCTGGTGGCATACAGAGCCAAAAGTATGAAAATTGTGCCTGTGGCCAAATATATATGGACCTAACTGTATTGCATTAATTTAAACACATTGAAAATATTCCTTAAATGGAACACAACGTAAAACATAAAAAGAAAAAATAATCACTAAAACATAGCAAACCACTTCACATTCAGTACATCTGTTATGAGAAAAATATCCACTTGAAGACCAAGCCTTTTCTGACACTTTTTATGTACATGTAAAAATCAGTATTGTTTGCTAGAAAATTACTTAGAACCCCAAACATTATGTATTATTTTAAAGCAGAGGCACTAGAGAATAAATTGGTGGGTGTAGCAATTTTTTATGTCACATTATATTTGTGCAGAGGTTTTTCAAACACAATTTAAGAAAAAATATTTTAATGCACAAAAACACAAATACTGAATTGTTTTGTAAAATTTAAAAGATGATGTTATGCCAAGTAAACAGATACCAAACATGTCTTGCTTTAAAATTGCACACGCTCGTGCACAAAGACATACATTTTACCATCCATAGGCAACGTTTTAAAAGCCTTTACAGGTTGGATTTACACAAGAGGTCTAGTGCTAGAATTACTGCCCTTGACATGATGCTCGCACTGATGCCTCCCATGTGTGGGACAATTGCCGTCTGCATGCACGAGGGACCAACGCAGGCTTTCAGCTTTGTGCGCAAGCACGGCGGGAGGGGGGGCACTTTAAATTTTTTTTATTTAGTTTTTATTTTTACACTGTCACTTTACATTTTTTAAAATCACTTTTATTGTTATCACAGGTAATATAAATATCCCCTGTGATAGCTGTAGGCAGTGACAGGTACTATTTGTGGAAAGATCTGGGGTCTATCAGAACCCAGATGTCTCCTCTGCTGCTAAAAGCATCTGATCACACCAAGATTGGTGTGATCAGATGCTTTACCTATTAAAAATTGGACTGTTTACATTTTGGAGAACCGGAAGTCATGTATGCTCATTGCTTCCGATTTACTATACCATAGAGGTGATCAGAGCCGTTCACAATATGACAGGGCTTAACAAATCTGCTTTAAATCTAGGAGTCAGTTAAAAAATTGGTGTAGCGTGGGTTGTCAGTGCCCAGGGCAAGGCAACTTTTGAGCAACAAGCCTCTCATGATGCTATTTGCCACTCGATAATCACGGCAAAACCACTGAAAATAATGGCACCTGAATCTGCGTTTTGGAATTGCAGTAGATATTTACAGTACCTACAGGTAACCCTTATTATAGGCTTACCTGTAGGTTCAAGTAAACAAACAGATTTTACTAACACTTTAAGGAGGCGTGGGTTCTCTCCAGGGAAACCTGCCCTTAATTTATCCAGTGCTATGTATGCTACAACTTGGGAGCTCCATCTCTTAAATATAGAGTTAGGACCACAAAATACAAAGGAGCCTTGGCGAGGCACTGTAGCTGCCACATATATTTGCAAATGTGTTCAACTAAAGCTCTGTTTTTAAGGTGCATTGTTAGACAGGGTCAATTTGGTTTTTGGGCAAACTAGCTGGTAAGTGTGCTGGGAAATTGTTTTGTTTGAGATATGCAACACCCTTCCAGGTGCACCTTATTGAAAAGGCTAGTCATAAATTGGGGTGGTTGCCAACATTTTGCAAAGCTCAGTGCATACAATAACAGACCAGTAAAAAATTTAAAAGTTGTAATTCCTAGTTACAAGAACTCACCTATAGTATGCTGAGCAGTAGTATCCACAAAACAGGAACAGTATTGGGTAGGTGGGGGTGGACACATTTCAGAAGAGTCACTATTGGGGTCTGTTCCAAAAGTCACTTGGTTTTATGTCACTGTTGCTTGGTTTACATCACTGTCTTCTAATTTTAAGCAGAAAGAAATTACAATTTCTTCTTTGCCCTCCTCCCCTAAATACACACACACCTAAACATACAGTATCTTTGTAAAACATACAGCATGTTTGTAAATATTTTATTATCTTTTCATGTGCAACACTGAAGAAATGACACTTTGCTACAATGTAAAGTAGTGAGTGTACAGCTTGTATAACAGTGTAAATTTGCTATCTGCTCAAAATAACTTACACAGCCATTAATGTCTAAACTGCTGGACAAAAAAGTGAGTACACCCCCTAAGTGAAAATGTCCAAATTGGGCCAAAAGTGTCAATATTTTGTGTGGCCACCATTATTTTCCAGCATTGCCTTAACCCTCTTGGGCATGGAGTTCTCCAGAGCTTCACAGGTTGCCACTGGAGTCCTCTTCCACTCCTCCATGATGACATCACGGAGCTGGTGGATGTTAGAGACCTTGTACTCCTCCACCTTCCATTTGAGGATGCCCCACAGATGCTCAATAAGGTTTAGGTCTGGAGACATGCTTGGCCAGTCCATCACCTTTACCCTCAGCTTCTTTAGCAAAGCAGTGGTCGTCTTGGAGGTGTGTTTGGGGTTATGTTGGAATACTGCCCTGCAGCCCAGCCTCCGAAGGGAGGGGATCATGCTCTGCTTCAGTATGTCACAGTACATATTGGCATTCATGGTTCTGGCAATGAACTGTAATTCCCCAGTGTCGGCAGCACTCATGCAGCCCCAGACCATGACACTCCCACCACGCTTGACTGTATGCAAGACACACTTGCCTTTGTACTCCTCACCTGGTTGCCGCCACACACACTTGACACCATCTGTACCAAATAAGTTTAACTTGGTCTCATCAGACCACAGGACATGGTTCCAGTAATCCATGTCCTTAGTCTGCTTGTCTTCAGCAAACTGTTTACAGGCTTTCTTGTGCATCATCTTTCTTTCTTGTCCTTCTGGGACGACAGCCATGCAGACCAATTTGATGCAGTGTGCATTGTATGGTCTGAGCACTGACAGGCTGACCCCCACCCCTTCAACCTCTGCAGCAATGCTGGCAGCACTGATACGTCTATTTCCCAAAGACAACCTCTGGATATGACACTAAGCACGTCAACCATGAGCATGGTCAACCATGGCGAGGCCTGTTCTGAGTGGAACCTGTTCTATTAAACCGCTGTACAGTCTTGGCCACAGTACTGCAGCTCAGTTTCAGGGTTTTGGTAATCTTCTTATAGCCTAGGTCATCATTATGTAGAGCAACAATTCTTTTTTTCAGATTCTCAGAGTTCTTTGCCATGAGGTGCCATGTTGAACTTCCAGTGACCAGTATGAGAGAGTGAGAGCGATAACACCGAATTTACCACACCTGCTCCCCATTCACACCTGACACCTTGTAACACTAATGGGTCACATGACACAGGGAGGAAAATGGCAAATTGGGCCCAATTTGGACATTTTCACTTAGGGATGTACTCACTTTTGTTGCCAGTGGTTTAGACATTAATGGCTGTGTGTTGAGTTATTTTGAGGGGACAGCAAATTTACACTTTTATACAAGCTGTACACTCACTACTTTACATTGTAGCAAAGTGTCATTTCTTCAGTGTTGTCACATGAAAAGATAGAATAAAATATTTACAAAAATGTGAGGGGTGTACTCACTTCTGTGAAATACTGTACGTTTAGGTGTGCGTGTATTTAGGGGAGGAGGGCAAAGAAGAAATTGTAATTTCTTCCCGCTTCAAGTTAGAAGACAGTGATGTAAACCAAGCAACAGTGACATAAAACCAAGTGACTTTTGGAAAAGATCCCATTAGTGACTCTTGTGTGTACTCACTTCTGTGAGATACTGTATCTACATGTAAAAAAAAAACAAACAAAAAAAAAACAAAACAAAAAAAAAAAAAAAAACCACAGACTGCTGCATTCTTCCTCCTTCAGCTAGGGCAGAGAATACCATACAGAGTATGACAATTCTTCAAAAGATTAACAAATTGGAACCAGTGGATTTCACATATGCAGTGTGCTGGATCTCTAGGCTATAATATTAACACCTGCAGGTCTGCATTTTCCTGATAAACGTACATTTTCTAAAACACAGTTGCAGCCTCTGGCTACGCTGAAGTAAGGAGACTGCTCAGTTCTGGTCTGTTGCCAGTTTTATTTATGAATACAAAAGGGAAGGTAAAAAGGGGGCAATGGGGAGTTTATCGTGGTAGTTTCTATTCCACTTTAGCAGAAAACCAATAAAAGAATTTCATAGTACCTACCACCCTGTGGTAAAGGTCCAAGTTTGAAGCCATATTTCTTCATAAGATCTATAACAATGTTCTTGTTTTCTTCTCTTCCCCAAAAACTCAGGTTCACTGGCATAGTATAGGCATTTTGCGCCCCATATGGCACTGTACTAAAATACAAAAATAAGTTAGATCTAGAGCATTTCACTAACACAAAGATTGATACTATTGCCTCTTGGCAACATGGTCTGGTAAAAAAAAAAAGAAAAGAAAATTATATATTTATGCTGCTGGCATTAGTAAATAGATAGGAAAGTATATTTACTTTTTTTTTTTTTATTTCTTCAGTTACTTCCTGATTTTCATACCTAGGCAAATCATGTCATACATCCCAGGTGTCTTCAAAGGGGGGAAGGGGTTTTCTCAGCAAACACACCGTCCTGTCTGAATGCCTGAGCTAAGGGCAGATGGATTCCAGGAAGTAATTGCTACATGAATCATCTGTCCTTACTCAAGATAGTCACAGCCAGAAATGCTAGAAGGTGTTTTTCAAAGTGGTTTCTCAGCAAAATAAAGCATGGATACGTGGATGGATGGGGAAGTTTGCTTTGAATATTAAAAATGAATTAAACAGCATTCCACTTTAAGTACAAAAATCCAATTTTCTTTCGCATTCATTGAGGCACAGGAACTCAGAGACTGTTGTGATTTCCAAAAGTATTCCATCGGAGGGTGGCTAATAGCATTAAAACACTAACAGGCCCTCTAAAAAAAAACTGAAACTGAGGATTGCATGCAGCCCACAGAACCACCTGAAGGAACAAATCGGGCGTCAGATGAGGTTTTAACATCCATCTAGTAAAATTTGAGAGAGAACATCTGAACAGAAAACCAGGTGGCAACCTAGCAAATAAGGAAACAGTAGTGACCTGATGCCAAAAACCCAAGAAGTACTCACAGATCCATAGAGCAGGACCTGACAGGAAAAGGTGGAACCTGATATTTAAGATCATAAGCTTAAATGATGATCTTTCTTAGCTACCAATTAAAGGTGGACCAAGAAACATATCCCGTTTATGGGGACCATCAAGGATGACAAAGAAAGAGTCAGTCTTCCTAATAGAAGAACACATGCACAGCACAAACTATATCCAGGCAATGGAGGTAGATATAACAATCCAAGGAAAGTCTTGCACATTGCACAAGTCATCTGAAAAACATACTGATAAATCATACAAATAGCTCTGCTTTCTATAAATATTTTTTCAGATGACCTGTGCGGTGTGTAAGACTTTCCCTTGAATTATTAAATTGTAAATGGGCGAACAGAAGCCTTGGATCTAACACCAGCTATCTCTGTAAGAATTGATGAGACCTGCAGTTAGAGCAATAACATTGTTTCATTTTGAGTGGAAGGAGATCTTATGATAAACTGGAGCCAAACAGAGGGTTCAAAGACCAATATCCTGGTTGAGGCGAAAGGCCAAACCCACCTTAGGAAGGAAGGAGGCTCTATGCCTCAACATCATCTTGTCCCTGTGCAAAACCAGACATTATTCCTTACAGGACAAAGCTGCCACCTCATAGACATGATGGCAACAAGAAATGCAACCTTATGCATGAGAGTGGAAAGGGGAATATCCCAATTAGGTTTAAAAGGTGATTTATGAAGTACTAGAAGCAAATTCAGACCCACAGAGTTATAGGGGAATGCACAGGGGTGCAGCATGCATGAGAGACACCCTGTACAAAAAGTCCCAATTAAAGAATAGAAAGCTAGTGGTTTCTGGACCAAGATCACAGGTGCCAAGATCTGCCCTTATGGTATTTGGGGCCAAGTGCTGATCAAAACCAAATTGTAGAAGGGCCAGGATTCGTCCCATGAAGAATGTTCTAGGATGAATGTTTCTTTCCTTGCCCCAAGCGAAGAATGCCTTCTGTGTGATGACAGATCTTGCAAAAAAAGAACTAGCTTCTAGCATTGTGAGAGGATCATTGGAACACCCTCTATCTTGATTCAGATGGGAAAGAGTTTTACAGGAGAAAATGCATAGATCTGGCTGTACTGATTCCCCCAAAACCTCCAAAGCATCCACTATTGCTCCAGAGAATGTCTGTTCCCGTAGACAAATCTGTCCAGTTTGTTGTTGAACCTGAAGGCCAGGTACTCCATATCCAGTGTCTCCCACCTGTGAAACGGGTCCTGGAACAGGACCATTCCAGGACCTAGCGCTGCCAGCTGAGAGTGTGCCTGCAAATGCTCAAATCTAGAACGAAAACAGCAGACAAAAGCTGGGATTGTGACATTCTGCCCGGGACGGAATTTACCTCTCTTTGCCATGTCAAGACTTTTGGTTCCTTCCATATGATTGATATATATCATTGATGTGGCATTGTTTGGCCAAATCCTGATTGGAGGCGTCTAGCATTGCAGGAACATCCAAATTGCTCCAAGCTCAGGAATGTTGATAGGGAGAAGAGTTTTCTTCAATTTCCTAGTCCCATGCACTGACAGACTCCTCCCTAGTCCAAATGCTAGCATCTGCCATGAGAAATCGGAAGGAACTACTTCCTCAACTTCAGAGCAGGGGCGGACTTACCATTTGAGCACTCGGGCACTGCCCGAGGGCCCGGGTCAGTAGGGGGCCCCATGAAATGCCCCTGGTACCTTTTATAGGCTTTTTTGGGTGTGCTTTGAGTGTGGACAAGGACACTGGGGCCCCATGGTCCCCTATTGCCCGGGGGCCCCATGAGTTGTCAGTCCGCCCCTGCTTCAGAGTAGTAATTCTGAACCACTAGGCCAGTGACAACTTGGTTTCCAGTAACCAAAGGCTGAATCGACTTGTACCGAGATGAAAGGCTGTGGAGTTTAGAGGTCTGGAGTAGAATTGGAAAAACACGAGTGCGTCGAAGGAGGATACAATCATCAGTTCCAAAACCCAAGCAGAAGCGGAAATTTGGATGAAATCTAGACTGAAGAGCCTGAGTCTAGGAGCAAAGTTAATAGCTTCTCTTTGGAAAGAAAAACTTTGGGTTGAGTTGTGTCTTGGATAAGCGATTAGTTAATTCCAGTGCTGACTTCTAAAGGTCAGGATCCTTCGCAAGGTCTCTACTGTCCTTGCAACAATGTCATCACGAACTTGTGTCAACTGGTGCCTCAACAAGAGATCTTCCAGGTATCCTACAATGGGGATACCATAAGAACATAGCAAGGCAAGCACAGGGGGGCCAGTACCATGGATAAGACCTGAGGTGTGGAAGATAAGCTGAATGGCAGGTCTATAAACTGGAAATGTTGCGTACCCATAGGAAAGCAAAGGAATTGCTGATCTGCTGGAGAAATAGGGACATGTAGGTAAACATCCTTGATGTCCACAGAGACCAGAAAGCTTCCATGGTGATGAGAAGTTATGATAGACCAGGTTGATGCCATGGGCCTGAATGAAAACATTTAGGTAAGGACTTGAGATCCAAGATGGATGCTTCTTTTAGGTTTGGAAACAGTGAAATGGTTGCAGAATTACTTCTGGAACCATTCTGCCATGGGTACTGGGGTCTCATTCCAAGAGGGCTGCATGGAGAAATGCTAATCTGTGCAGGTTTTAAAGCATAAACCAAGGAGGAAACTGACAATAAAATTCAGGCATTTTAGATGCTGGCTGCCCAGATGTGTGCAAAGGCTAATAGATGTTCCCTCACTTTGGAAAGTAGGCAAACCCCTTTGTTATATTATTATATAGAATTTATACAGTGCTAACAGTTTGTGCACTGCTTTACAAAATAAAAGGGAGCTACACAGCTCATTCTGCTGCTGTTCAACGACATGAATAAAGTGTACTAAGTGACATATCAGCATGGATGTCACTCCACTTCCTCAAACTAAATCTTTCTAAAACTGAGCTTATAATATTCCCTGTAGACAGTGCCCCCTCCCCTGACTTCTCCATCAAGATCAATAATACAACCATCAGTCCTTCCCCTCATACCAGGGTACTAGGTGTAATCCTAGACTCCCATCTGTCCTTTCAGCCCCAAATCCAATCACTGTCCAAATCTTGTAGACTTCACCTCCACAACAGCTTTAAGATATGGCCGTTCCTAACCTCAGAAACCACTAAGCAACTTATCTACTCCCTTGTTATCTCTTGCCTTGATTATTGTAACTCCCTCCTCATTGGCCTACCACAACGCAGACTATCCCCTCTTCAGTCTATCATGAATGCTGCTGCCAGACTCATCCACCTTACTAACCGTTCCATATCTGCCATCCCTCTCTGCCAATCCCTCCACTGGCTTCCCATTGCCCAATTAATAAAATTCAAAACCTTAACAATAACATTTAAAATCATTTATAACTCTGCCCCAAATTACATCACCAATCTTGTCTCCAAATATCACCCAAACCGTCCTCTCCGCTCCTCCCACAACCTCCTGCTCTCTAGCTCCCTTTTCTCCTCCTCCCATGCTCGTCTCCAGGACTTCTCCAGAGCCTCCCCCATCCTCTGGAACTCTCTACCTCAATCTTTCCGACTATTGCCTACACTGACCACTTTTAGGCGATTCCTGAAAACCTCTCTTCAGGGAAGCCTATCCTGCCTTCAGCTAATAATGGAATCTTCTATTCCTCCTATCAGTTCATCCCCCAGTTATTACCTTTTGTACCACCAGCCCCTCCCTCTTAGACTGTAAGCTCCAAGGAACAGGGCCCTCCTAACCCTCTTGTATTGAACTGCAGTCAGAAAAGACAGGTGCTGGAGAGGTATAGTGCTCCAGCAGCTGTCTGTTTCAGTGAGAATTCACCCTTAAACATTTATTGTATACTTAATTATTTTCAGCACAAGCTCTGGGCATATACTCACCCCTCAAGCTTTGCTAAGTTCCTGTCCATGATATGGGCCAAAGCTGCAGCCAGCTCTTTCTTTATGTGACCAACTTGTTCTCCATTTACATTGTTTACTTTAACTGCATTTCTGTCATATGGGTTGTTGGGTTCACGCTGAAGTGCAACCATCTCGTTATTGTTAACCTGAAAACACCAATAGGTTTGATTTTCTTTTGGCATACTGTAAAATATATAAACTTCAAAAACAATTTATTTTCTCTGCAGCACATAAATGCTGTGTTATTGTTCATTATACATAAATGACATCTACGCAAAATAGTTCATGTAAAACAGTGTTTATCTTATAGATTCATGGCCCTTGTCAAAGTCGCTAACGTCCTTACACTTGTCCATTTTTTTCTGTTTTCAACGTATCAACTTTAAGGACAACATGTTCCCTTGCTGCCTAATACATCCCACCCAATTTCAGATGCCATTGTCATGAGCTAGTCAATGTTATTCACTTTGCCAGTTAGTGGTCATAATGTCATGGCTGATCTTTGTATATACTAAATACTTGTCAACCACCCACATGCATTTTACTGCGGGTGGGCGGCTCGTACAGGCACAATCACGAACCTGTATGTCTGCAGTTGCTTTCAGGTTAAAAGCCCCCTTGGGCCAACTCCCGCTGTGATTGGACACAGCATGATTTTGTCAGCAGGTTTCAGCTGATGATTCATGGCTGAGACCTGCTGATCGGCTGTGTCCAAACAACACAGGGCTCTGTACAGAGGGAACGATCTCTTTGTTTCTTGCTTTGCAGGGAGAAGGCACAAACAGATATTTAGTAAGAAGCAGCACACTGTTAACCCTTCGATCGCCCCTAGATCCCCTTCCCAACCAGTGTCATTAGTACAGCTTACTAGTATTATCACTTATTACTGTATTAGTGTCACTGGTGATATCAGTGTCAGATTGTCCACTGCATTATCACAGTCCCACTATAAACGTTTCTGATCACCGCCATTACAAGTATAAAAAGAAAAAATTCCTATCTATCATAGTTTGTAGATGCTATAACTTTCACACAAAAACCAATCTTTATACTTTTCAGTCTTTCATTTATGCAATAAAAAAAACCTACTGGTGATGAAATACCACCAAAAGAAAGCTCTCTTTGTGTTACAAAAAAATTATACATTTTATAGTGTTGCATGACCCCACAATTGTCAGTTAAAGTAGTGCAGTGTCAAATAGCATAAAGTGGACTAGTCATGAAGAAGGTAAAATCTTCCAGAGGTCAAGGGGTAAAAGGTGGGCTGGGACTTGTCGAAATGCCAGCATTTATTTTCCATGATTCTTCACTGGAAAGCCCTATGAGTGATTATATTACCTTTGCGTGCACATGCACCCACACATTCAGTACTTCATACATGACAAAGGAATCCAAGATCACAATGTATACACTAAACAGGCTGCACAGAAGATGCAGTTCACAATGATGCTGTGGTTTGTCTAACTGAAAACTAATACGGAGCCATTTGATATACGATCTGGGTTTTTTCAGCACAGATTAAAACCCTTTGAGGACCAAGGGACGTATTTGTCCCATGTTTGTAATTGCGTGTATCATCTGATTAAGAACTTAAAACTCTTTCTTTTTTTTTTTGGTTTGAGTCAAAATATTAGTTCTCATCAACAAACAACAAATGGATCTAGCTTTTTGCCAATTATTTTATTAAATGGCTTAGTTACAACAACTGAAGTGTACGAACTTTAAAAACAAAAAAATTGATTCTTTTGTCGTTCCAAAACCTTACAGTCCTCAAAGGGTTAAATAAATAAATAAAATTCAGATACTCCACTTGAATAGCAGACAAGATAATTAGTGGTGCACCAAAATTAAAATGCTGAACTGAAAATTCAGGATGTACTTGGCTAAAAACTTAAACTAAAACTGAGTTTTTAAAAAATATATTTTTTTATTTATAATTGTATTATATTCGACTTTTTCATTAATATAATTAATTTTAAGGAGTATGAATTAAAAAAAATACAATCCAGTAACGTTAAATAACTTTTATTGAAAGTAACACAAAAATTGGACAGAAAATAAAATAAAATATATATAAAATAAAAACAAAAACTTAAATAGAGGCTTTTGCATTGACGTCAATAGGGGGCGTTTTTACATTGAAGTCAACGGGACAGAATTTTGCATTGAAGTCAATAGGAACACGATTATGCATTAAAGTCAATTATCATTATCGCCACCTTTTCTTTCTTTTTTTTTTTTTAGCCGGCAAAATGCTGACCTTATTTTTGGCCAAATATTTTTGGTGCCCAATATATCGGTGCATCACTAAACATAATATTAACCACTTGCCCGCCACCGGATTTACCCCCCTTCCTGACCAGGCAATTTTTTGCATTACAGAGCTGTGTTACTTTAACTGACAATTGCATGGTCATGCAACGCTGCACCCAAATGAAATTTATGTCCTCCTTTTCCCATGAATAGAGCTTTCTTTCGGTGTTATTTGATCGCCTGTGCAGTTTTTATTTTTTGCGCTATAAAAAAAGAAAAGACCGACAATTTTGAGAAAAAAAAACCTATATTTTTGACTTATTGCTATTAAACATGTCCAGAAAAAAATTTTAAAAATCAAATTTCGTCATAAATTTAGGCCAAAATGTATTCTACATGTCTTTGCTAAAAAAAAAATCCCAATAAGTGTAAATTAATTGGCTTACGTGAAAGTTATAGCGTTTACAAATGGCGGTATATATACTGAGATTTTTTTTATTTTTTACTAGTATCGGCAGCGATCAGCAACTTATAGCGGGGCTGCGGCAGGCATTCTGACACTCAGGGGAACTGACTTGGTGTCACTGACATCCCCAGTGACACCAATACAGTGATCAGTGCCAATAAAAAGCACTGACACTGTACTAATGACACTGGGAAGGAAGGGGCTAACATGTGGGGTGATCAAAGGATTAACTGTGTGCTGTTGTACTAGGGGCTGTGTGTGTGTGCGCTTCACTGTAAGCACACTGCTTTGCATGGCTGTGCTGTGCACAGCCATGAAAGGCAGTGTGCAGGAGCTGACGGGAGAGAACTGTTTTGTTTACTAACAGTTCTCCCCCCCCTTCGGAGATGCTTGGCAATCACCAGGCACCGGAGAGTAATCACCATCTGGGACCCGGTGATTGACAGCCACAAATGGCGGCGCGGGTAGGGCACACACGCCCCCTACCCAGAAATGCAAAATCACACACACACACACATATATATATATACTGTATATACACACACACACACACACATGATTTTGCACACCGCTACCTCCCTGTAGCAGTATTTATGCTATGGGGGGGCACTAAAGCGGTTAATATCCAATATTGCACATTTAGCTGAATAGGTAAACATTTTATTTTAAAAAGGAGAAGCTTTTTGGCTGTACTTTTCCTGTAGATCATAGGAGTGCAGTTTGCTCTGCACTACTGTGATCCATTTTCAGCCGACAGCACTTAGTCGGCTTAGGCTGGGGTAAGATACCAACTTCAATGTAAAGTGCTGAAAGCCTGAGCCAGCCGCTGCCTCCACAGCCCAGAACTTCAGTGAGCGCAAAGGGGGGGGGGGGGGTGAGCAAAGTGTGACTGACAGTCCCACTCTCTGCTCAGAGCGGAGAAGGGAACTCAGCGTTCTCACCCTGAAGGTCACATGCCACCTATAGGTGCATGGACACTGGCCAACCAATCAAACAGGAAGTCTTCCCCCATATAACCCCTCCTACACAGGAAGTACTCAGTTTTTGTAGCAAGCAATGAAAATTCAGAAAGAGGAGAGGGACCTCTGTGTCCAGTGATGTACTCCAAGAAATGGATTTTACAGGTATGTAGAAAAAAAAATCCAATTTTCTTTCTCGTACATCACAGGACACAGAGCAGGCCATAATAATGACTATGTGGGACATCCCAAAGCAATAACCTTGAAGGGTGGGTGACATCACAATAACCACCGCCAACATCCCAAAAAGGAGCTATTAAGCTGTATGTAAAACACTGCGGCCAATGCAGAATCCTCCGTGGTTCTGACATCCACCTGGTAAAACCTTGTGAATGTATGAACCAAAGACCATGTAGCAGCCTTGAAAACCTGAGCAACTGATAGCCCAAGATGCCCCCACACTCCTGGTATCGTGTGCTTTCACCCGAAAGGACGAACCTTGCTCTTCAAACCATAGGCTTGATTGACTAACAGACAAATCCACTTAGAAATAGTTGATTTGGATGCCTCCTGTCCTCTCCTGGGATCTTCCAGCAAAATAAACAAGGAATCAGTCTTTCTACTCTGTGCCATCATCTTCATTCTGACGTTGTCAGGCATAAATACAAGCATAGCAAAATGGTATTATAGTGAGCGCTCTAAAAATAGCAGCTGTAACACTCAAGGTAACCACAGTAAACCTCCGAATAACAATAAGTATAAGGATAAGCAGAGGGGAAATCTGCTGTTGAAGAGATCACCCACCAGTGCTATTTGAACTTTATTCCTTCATTGGATGAACTATTACTTACTCACCATTTATGCTCATGATTTATTTATTCATATATTTATCCTTATGACTAATTATTAGCGCTGCACTTTATTTTACTTATGCATACAAGCATGTGGGGGCCAAACAACTGAGTACCATATTGAATTGCTGCAATGAAATTTCAGCAAAATGGACTAGCCTGCTGCATCATTTTTTTACTTTGATTTTTGGTGTGTCTTTGAATTCAGTCCTCTGTAGGTTGATAATTTTCATTTCCATCAAACGATGGGGGATCCTTACGTTCCTAACAAATGACCCAGTCTATATCAGTATAGATATCCAGCATATTTTTCGAGCGAGTGAGAGAATAGATAAACACACACTTACCCATACCGCGGCAGGCCCCTGAACTCATAATCAGGGACCAACCTTCAACCATCACAGCGGGCCTTGTCCTAAAGATCTTCAAGGACTCAGTCCCCCTTTTTAAAATGGGGACCACTGCCTTGGACCCATATAGCACCCTGCCAGAAGCGCCTTGGTCATATTAAACTACACAGGGTTCCAAATATGCAGGGTCCAGTGCCCTAAAGCCATATTACAGGCAAAACCCTGAGGATTCTTCTCCTTAGCCAGCTTGGATACAATCTATTTTGGCTAACAGCTTTTCGAATGGATCCGATTGAGGCCCTTAACTCTCAGTAGAACCGTTCCAGGCCTCCCAGTATGCTTCACAAAGCATTTGCAGCACATGTTCCGTGAACATCCTCCTTACAGACACTGGTGAAAAATCTAAGTACTTCCTGTGTAGGAGGGGTTATATGGGGGAGGCTTCCTGTTTGATTGGTTGGCCAATGTCAATTCACCTACAGGTGGCATATAACCCACAGTCATTATTATGGCCTGCTGTGTGTCCCATGATGTACGAGAAAGAAAAAAAATCCCTGCTTCTCTTTTAATCTTTTTCGTTCTGACCATTCAGCCCTCAACACATTCAGTAAGGACAGGTATAAGCCCCAAAATGAGGATAGTCAGGGGGTTAGGGAGTGGTGTCTCTAACCTGAAGAGTGTAAACAAGAAAGTAAGAATGCACCCCCATAAGCAGGCTAACAGGGTGAATAACACTGTGGAAGAAATTTGCATTTATTCCTAATTTCTGGAAGCAAATTCATCTACCTGTTGCAGCCCTGAAATTGGTTCTAAAACTACAGGTGTTTTTGAATCCAACCGTGTCATATTCTACTGTAATTTACATTACACTTACCACCCCAGTATAATAACGCAAGCCAACCACATTCCCTCTCAACATCCCAAATAAAACTAAGGAATCCAAATCCTCATCTGCAGAAGAGGAATCATTAGTCGATGGCAGGTTGTCTGGCTCGGTGTCAAAAAAGAGATTTACAGGCGAATGCTGACTTCCACTCCTGCCATACTGAACGGACAGGACACGTCTCAAGGAAGAGTCTCTACAAAACAAAAAAGTGTTGGAATGAGGCAACGTTCACACAAGGGGTAATATCTAAAATGCAAGTAACCAGATTCTCTTCACATAGAGGATATTGCTTCACCTTCTCATGTTCACATTTGGTAAAGAGAGGAAAGCACCCACCATTCTGGGTTTCAGTAGACTTGAGGCCTCATTCAGACAATAAATGAGCATGGATAGGTTGCTGTATTCAGATGTGGGACTCTGAGCAGCTCTGGACGCAGACCGTTTTATTAGGTGCCACTGTTTCTGGCCTCATGCAATCTGGCTGCAGTATATCGTCCAGTTTGTCTATAGCCATAACAGAGAGTAAAACTGCATCCAGAGACAGTTATTCCTCTAAATGCAGCAGCCTATCTAGCCTAAATGAGGCTTTACTAGGGCGAAAAAATGCTGGCGAGTAATAATGGGTCAGCCGGCTGAACCTTTGGAACCCAGAAGGCGATTGCACAACAATATCGGCACCCAAGAGGAAGCACGTGGATATCCTAATGCTAAATTGGAGGAAAGTATAGCGGACGTCTTTATTTCAGGTGTTTATATAGAGCCATCAATTTACACGTGGCTTTTTTTTTTTTTTTTTTTTTTTTAAAAAGGTAAGTTTATTAATTTTTTACATAAATAAAAAAAATAATCAGGAACATAGTACCCAGTGATGGGTGCATAATACAGCTCATAGAGAATCACAGAAAAAAAAACAGATAACAAGGTTCACAACTATTGTATACATTCCCATCATTGGTACAGCAGAAAAACAAACAACTTAGCTGGTGAGTATACAAGGCAGTGTTTCTCAACCTTTTTCCAGTTGGGGCACCCTTGAAAAGTATTTTTAGTCTCGAGGCACCCCTGTTCAAGGTTTGGTTCATGTTACTGTGTGTACCGGAACGCAAGCTCCTTGCTGACAAGCAGTCAAATGCTGGGCTCTTTAGGAGTGCTATTATTAATGGTACCCTACATATTGGTAAACGCAGGGTGTTTTTGATGTGCCACAATTTTCAAGAAGGGTCAGGGACAACTTTCCCTGCATTTTTGCAGATATGGCATCCCACTGAAATGAATGGGCTGCCCTACATGCAGCACGCAGACACACAGATGTGAACCAAGGGCTTGTTCACATGTGAGGTTGAAAGGCGGTAAAACCACATGGTTGAGCGTTTTTTTTCCACCCCCAACTGTTCCTTTAGCTGCAGAGGCAGCAGCTGGGGGTGTACACATTCTGTGGCCACAGCTGGAAGTATACTCCCAAGTGAATAGGGCTGCACTGCAACCACCCTGCAACGGTGTGCATTGTATGTGCTTGCGGTGTAGTGATGCAGTGTTTACCAGGTTAAAACAGATGGTGAGGAGACAACATATTGCCACTGCCAGGACACAGATCATGCACTATGCGCTGCCGGGACAATGGTCACGTACCAAGCACTGCCGGGACACTGATCATGTATTGTACGCTGCCAGTATACAGATCTTGTGCCGTGCACTGCCGGGACACTGATCACGTGCCGTGCGCTGCAGGGGACACTGAACACGTGCTGTGCACTGCAGGGGACACTGATCATTTATTGTGCACTGTCAGTATACAGATCACGTACCGTGCACTGCCGGGACACTGATCATGTATTGTACGCTGCCGGGACACTGATCATGTGCCGTGCGCTGCAGGGTACACTGATCACATGCCGTGTGCTGCCGGGACACTGATCATGTATTGTACGCTGCCAGTATACAGATCACATACTGTGCACTGCCGGGACACTGATCATGTATTGTACGCTGCCAGTATACAGATCACATACTGTGCACTGCCGGGACACTGATCATGTATTGTACGCTGTCAGGACACTGATCATGTGCCGTGCGCTGCAGGGGACACTGATCATGTGCCGTGCGCTACTGGGGACACTGATCATGTATTGTACACTGCCAGGACACTGATCATGTATTGTACGCTGCCTGGACACTGAGCACATGCTGTAAGCTGCCGGGACACTGATTATGTATTGTACGCTGCCAGTATACAGTTCACGTACCGTGCACTGCCAGGACACTGATCACGTGCCGTGCGCTGCAGGGGACACTGATCATGTATTGTACGCTGCCAGTATACAGATCACGCACCGTGCACTGCCGGGACACTGATCACGTGCCGTGCGCTGCAGGGGACACTGATCATGTATTGTACGCTGCCAGGACACTGATCATGTATGCACTGCCGGGACACTGATCATGTATTGTACGCTGCCAGGACACTGATCATGTATTGTACGCTGCCAGGACACTGATCATGTATTGTACGCTGCCAGGACACTGATCATGTGCATCTGCTGGGTGCATCTGAGAGAGGGTGAATGCAGGATATTCTGCTACCGCCTGGCTCAGCACAGCGATGTACAGGGCACTATTACCTCATAAATCCCCAGGACATGATGACATGGAGGCTGAATGACACAACGAAGGGTTAACTCAACACCAGCTCCACTCACAGCCCCCGACACCTACAATAACCGGACAACAGAGCTTTCCGATTTCCCGGTCTTCACATAGCCAGCCAACCACAAACACTTCCGGGTTTCCACCGCCAGTACAAATTCTAACCAATGAACACATGAGCACATGACAAGATACCCGAGAGCTCCCCGCACACGAGGCGCCCAGTGAGAGAGCGCTGGGCGGGGTTGCCGTGGTTTGCTAGGAGATTTGGGGGTGGAGCTGTAATCGCTCACATGTTGGACTGGGGATGAGTCTGAGTACTAGTGTCTTCTACGCACCTCTAGAGGGAGCTGCTGTGTGTTGCAGACGAAGCCAAGGTCAGAGCGAGTGCTTCTCCACCATAGAGAGAGCAGGCACCAGTACATATATACACTGCTCAATAATGAAAAGAACTCTGAAAACACGAGATGTCAATGGGGGAAATATCATGCTGGATATGTACACTGATCTAGACTGGGTAATGTGTTAGGAACATAAGGATGCCCCATCATTTGATGGAAATGAAAATTATCAACCTACAGAGGACTGAATTCAAAGACACCTGAAAATGAAAGTGAAAAAATGATGCAGCAGGCTAGTCCATTTTACTGACATTTCATTGCAGCAACTCAAAATGGTACTCAGTAGTTTGTATGGCCAACACGTGACGGATCATGTCCTGGGGTATTTCCTCCCAGATCTGGACGAGGGCATCACTGAGCTCCTGGACAGTCGGGTACAACCTGGCGGCATTGAATGGACTGAAACATGATATCCCTGAGCAGGGGCGGACTGACAACTCATGGGGCCCCTGGGCAATAGGGGATCATGGTGCCCCTGTGTCCTTGCCCACACTCAAACCACACCCAAAAAAGCCTATGAAAGGTACCAGGGGCATCTCATGGGGCTTACTGACCCCGGGCCCTCGGGCAGTGCCCAAGTTTCCGAATGGTCAGTCCGTACCTGTCCCTGAAGTGTTCTATTGGATTTAGGTCAGGCGAGAGTGGGGGCCATTCAATGGTATCAATTCCTTCATCCTCCAGGAACTGTATGCATACATTCGCCACATGAGACTGGGCATTGTCATGCACCAGGAGGAGCCCAGGAAAAACTGCACCAGCGTAGGGTCTGACAATGGGTTCAAGGATTTCATCCCGATACCTAATGGCAGTCAGGGTACCATTATCTAGCCTTCAGAGATCTGTGCGTCCCTCCATAGATTTGCCTCCCAAGACCATCACTGACCCACCACCAAAACAGTCATGCTGAACGATGTTACAGGAGCATAATGTTCTCCACGGCTTCTCCAGACCCTTTCACGTCTGTTACATGTGGTCAGGGTGAACCTGCTTTCATCTGTGAAAAGCACAGGGTGTCAGTGGCGGACCTGCCAATTCTGGTGTTCAATGGCAAATGGCAATCGAGCTCTGTGGTGCCGGGCAGCGAGCACAGGGCCCACTGGAGGAAGTCGGACCCTTAGGCCACCCTCATGAAGTCTGTTTCTGATTGGTCAGAGACACTCACACCAGTGGCCTGCTGGGGGTCATTTTGTAGGGCTCTGGCAGTGCTCATCCTGTTCCTCCTTGCACAAAGGAGTAGATTCCGGTCCTGCTGATGGGTTAAGGACCTCCTACAGCCCTGTCCAGCTCTCCTAGTTGCCTGTCTCCTGGAATCTCCTCCATGTTCTTGAGACTGTGCTGGGAGACACAGCAAACCTTCTGGCAATGGCACATATTGATGTGCCATCCTGGAGGAGTTCGACTGCCTGTGCATCTTCTGTAGGGTCCAGGTATCGCCTCATGCTACCAGTAGTGACACTGACCCTAATCAAATGCAAAACTAGTGAAAAACAGAAAAGATGAGTAAGGGAAAAAAAAGTCAGTGGCCTCCCACCTGTAAAACCAGTCCTGTTTTGGGGGGTCATCTCATTGTTGCCCATCTAGTGCACCTGAAGCAGCTGAAACTGAAACAACCCCCTCTGCTACTTAGCTAACCAGATCACTATCCCAGGAGTTTAATTGACTTGATGCTATACTCTGATTAAAAAGTGTTCCTTTAATTTTTTTGAGCAGTGTAGCATTGGAAGGCAAAATACACCAATTAGACATAACAGTATGACCACTGACAGGTAAAGTAAAAAACATTGATCATCTCCTTGCAATGGTTTCTGAAAAGGGGGGGGATATATTGGGCAGTAAGTAAATATGATGACACTGAAGATGTGTTGAGAGCATAAAAAAGTTTACTTTGACAAGGGTCAAATTGTAATGACTAGACAACTGGATGAGAAAGTCTCCAAAACTGCAACTCTTGTGGGATGTTCCTGTTCTGTAGTGGTCAGGACCAACCAAAAGTGATCCAAGGAAGGAGAACTAGTGAACCGGCAACAGGGTCATTGCTGGCCAAGGCTCATTGATGCCTGTGTAGTCTGATCCAGTAGAAGAGCTACTGTAGCTGATAGTGCTAGTCTGATAGGTGTTGGAACACAATCCTTTGCAGTTTGTTATGTATGGGGATATGCATAGCATCAGACCAATCAGTTTAGATCCATGTCCATAGCCAAAAGAGCCTACAATGGGCATGTGAGCATTAGAACCGGACCATGGAGCTATGGAAGAAGGTGCCCTGGTCTGATGAATTTAACAATAGTTTGAAGTATGCAGGGTACCGCCCCGTGTACCTCCTCTCCAATTTTTCAGCATCTTTCTGGGACTGGGAGTATACATTGCTCACACTGCACTTTATTATTTATTGTGTTATACTCCTAATTTTCTTGCTGATAATTCTGAAATTTGATATGTGCCTTATCAATATGATAGTGCCTAACGTCTACCTCCTGATTGTCTACCTTGGTCATGTGGATGCTGCTACCCTCGTTGATCGTGGGGTACCAGAGTTGTGACTACATTTAGGATTGTTCTTTTATGTTACGTTTTCCTTTGAGCCGGGTCCAAAGGCTCTGTTTTGTAGAGTATTTTTTCTAAAAACCAATAAAAACTATTTTGAAAAAAAAGACAAAAAAAAATATTTTGAGGAACATAAAAATGAGTTTGAATTTTTGATTTACCTCCACATTTTCCAGATCTCAATCCAATATAGCAACTTTGGGATGTGCTGGAAAAAAGTCCAATCCATGGAGGACCTTGCAAGTTACAGGATTTAGACCTTGTTTACACTGATGCGATGCAGGAAAACTCCAGTGCAATTCCCGCGCTGTATTGCAATCGCACAAGGTCTTTGCAATCAGCTGTAGGTGTCAATGTTGATTAACAGCACCCCAAAACAGATTGTAAAACACAGTTTGATTGTCAGAAATCAGACCACATGGGTGGAAACAGGGGTGGAAAAAAAAGGGTCCAGAACCATTTTGGTGTGGATGCAATGCGATTTGAGACATACAAAATGTATTCCTATCCGAATCACATGCGGTGTCCCATACCACACAAGTGTGAACCTAGACTTAAAGTGACTCTAAAGGTTGTAATTGTTTTCTTCTAAATAACAAACATGTTATGCTTACCTGTTCTATGTAATGGTTTTGCACAGAGCAGCCCCGATCCTCTTCTTTTGGGTTCCTCGCTGACAGTCTTGGCTCCTCCCTCCAGCTGAGGGACCCTAATAGCAAGCTTCTTGTTATGAGGGGGCCACTTGAGCAGGCTCACTCCTGTGAATGGATATTGTCCATTGACACGCAGAGTGTGGCTTGGTCCTACCCCAACATTGGCTCACTGACTGTGATAGAAAGCAGCAAGAGCCAATGGCTCCCACTGTTGTGTGAGCCAATGAGGAGAGAGAGAGACCCAGGTGAGCCACAGCTTTCATGCACTGGATCGAGAAGGGGCTCAGGTAAGTGTAAGGTGGGCTTTGGGGAGCAGCACCAAGAAGGTCTTTTACCTTAATGCATAAAGGTAAAAAAAAAACCTTCTGCCTTTAGAACCACTTCAGAGGATCTGCTGCTGACAGCTTGGTGCCAGATACCACAGCATACCTTCAGAGGTATAGTGGAGTCCAGGCCTTGATGGGTTATGGTAGGTGGTCATAATGTTATGGCTGATGTCAGGGCCATGGATAAGGGGGTTCCACCAGTCCTCATGTACGGGGCCCAGGCCAGCAGGGGGGCCCAGGCAGCTTGTTGAATCAGATGTGGGCAGAGAGGGTAGCTTCTTCTCCTCTTCCTCCCGCTGGCTTTCAGCTGCTGCAGAGAGAGCCATACAGGGGGTCAGTTACAGTAATTGCCCTCACCCCACCCAACACCCTCCCTGTGCACCATACGTTTCCCCCTGCAGCCAAGGCCCCCCTGTGTGCCCCCACAGTGCTGCTGGCTTCATTTCTCTCCTTTCTTCCGGCATCTGCAAGCTCACAATAGGATCCTTCATGATGGAGTGTGGGGGAAGGGTTGGGTAAATATGTCACATTTATCAGCCACTGCCTTTCCTGAATGAACACAATGAGTGATCATTAACAATCACTCACTGTGTTCATTCATAACTAAAGGGGGGGGGCATTTTGTTTTTTGGTGGAGGGGCCCTGTCAAGTTTGCTGTATGGGGCCCCGTGGTTTCTAACAGCAGCCCTGGCTGATGTATGTATTAAGGTAGTGATCAATTGAGAATATTAACATTTAAATAGACACAATGACAAAAACTATTTAGGTTTAATCACAAGGGTACTGATGCCCATGCAGTGTGGATGAGCCATTTGTTTACATATTTGGGGGCACTTAGCCCAGGTTCACACTGATGTGGTGCGGATTTTGCACCCGTTATTGTGCAATTTCCACACTGCATCATAATTGCGCCCTGTTCGTGCGAACCGCTGCGGGTGTATATTTTAAGTTAACAACACCCAGAAATCTGTTCCCAAAACGCGATGTGATGTACAGAATTGGATCATATGGGTGTTCACACCCATGCAATCCGATTCTGGTGCGGACAAATAAAAGGGTCCTGCACTATTT